TCTGGAGACGAAGAAGTGAGAGAGTGTGGCAGACGGGGAGATGAGTAGGAGGAGAAGAGATGTGTTGTCTGCATATTTCCTTGCGTTAGCTCGTGTTACTGATAGTAGCCTCATCATGAGATAACTGCTCTATTAGGACTGTAGGAGCCGTGTATTTGATGTTCCACTACTTGCTGCAGGCCGAGGGGCTTGCAGATCGTACCAGTTGTACCCACATGTGTTGCTGTGTGCAGGCTGACTGGAAGTCGTATGTGTTGATCTTCTGAGCACATTGCTTCGTTGTTCCGACAGGCAGTAACACAGGAGGGAGCCTGGTACATTCCTGCACGGGGAGGTTACCGTTTAGCTCGAGACAACGCAGGTTTATTGGTGCAGCGCCTTTCAATGCAGAATGATGTAATACATACATCAGAATGAACAGAGTGAAATCCAGGAGGACGTTATTCAGTGTCCAGATGGAGCCTGAGGAACACCACATGCTCTCCACCACATCACCTAGAAACGCAACATGGGAGAAATGTCGACCATTAACACAAACACAAACACAAACGCACACCAACACGCCGCCTGAATCGTTGGCCTCACCTTTGGTCAGAGAAGCTGAGCTGATACGGTGGAGTCAAGAAGCTACGGACCACTGATTGGTGAGCGAGAATCATTACCTGCGTGACACAGGACGGTCAGCAAGCATCCCCATCCCTCATGGCCTTCAAGAGACCTGCATGTAACCCTAAAGGATCCCCATGTTCTCTTTGATTCTAATTCTAATTCACTCAATGAACATCATCTGCATTGAAGAAGACTAGAAACTAGAGACTGAGACCATAAACTCATGTTTACAATGTTTACTGAGGGAATAAATCAAGAGAGAAGTAGAGTCATTTCCTCATAGACGTCTATGGGAGCAGAGGAGTCGCCCCCTGCTGGTCACTACAGAGAAGTAGAGTCATTTCCTCATAGACGTCTATGGGAGCAGAGGAGTCGCCCCCTGCTGGTCACTACAGAGAAGTAGAGTCATTTCCTCATAGACGTCTATGGGAGCAGAGGAGTCGCCCCCTGCTGGTCACTACAGAGAAGTAGAGTCATTTCCTCATAGACGTCTATGGGAGCAGAGGAGTCGCCCCCTGCTGGTCACTACAGAGAAGTAGAGTCATTTCCTCATAGACGTCTATGGGAGCAGAGGAGTCACCCCCTGCTGGTCACTACAGAGAAGTAGAGTCATTTCCTCATAGACGTCTATGGGAGCAGAGGAGTCGCCCCCTGCTGGTCACTACAGAGAAGTAGAGTCATTTCCTCATAGACGTCTATGGGAGCAGAGGAGTCGCCCCCTGCTGGTCACTACACAGGACGCAACTCTAGCACGTGACGTTGTGTCTGCTAGTGAAGACTTTCATCTCCGGGAAACTCTGTTAAGTACATTTAATCAGGTTTGTCTCGTGTCGATGTTATCTTCCTGTTTTATTTTGAAAGTTAACCTTCCTCTCGTTTCAGGGAAACTTCCCCCTGTGTCCGATTGTCTTCGCTGCCCCTGATTGTTTCACCTGTGAAACAGGACAAAGGGAGACGCAGACAATATATACTTGTGTATATATTGTCTGCGTCTCCCTTTGTCCTGTTTCGTCTTGTCCCACATCATATATCCTTTTGCCATCGCCTAGTCTTGCTATGGTTTTGTACTTTAAGGCACGATTTCTGTTGGTTCTTTTCTCAACGTTTGTTTTATAGATACTTTCTGTTCTTAGGTTTTAGTTTAAGGTTTTTCTCTTCTGAAACCTTTTATTTTTAAACCTTTCCTCTGGAGTCGTGCATTTGGGTTCGGGGCCGTTGTCCAGTCGTGACAACTGGTTATAACGTGACCTTTGTAGTGATTTCTTCTGTTCCACCTGACTCCTCCTCCTCCTCCTCCTCCTCTTCCTCATCTTAAAAGGATCTTTCTCCTGCGGCAGATGTATTCTGGATCGATGCTCGTTCATTCCTGACAGTGTGGAAGCCAACGTTCCTGCAATGACGTCACCGGTGACCACAGATGTTTCTGATTCCACTTCTCATGAACTCTGCAGGTTTCATGACATGGTTTCTATCCGTTGGATTGATTTCCATCTTTATTCTTCCTCTCATGTGATTACGTGGACGATTAAAGAGGAACAGAGTTCAGGAGGACATGCAGCGCTTTGGATGAAAACATTCGGTTGTTTGACGTTTCTCTGTAGAACCTTCAGAAGGCCTGTGAGCTCTTCACGTCTGGTCCACTGGAGAAGAACTTCAGCTACACAGAGAGAAAAACCTCACAACAACTTAACGGGCTGATGGCAGAGTGAATTCATCATGTTGGTTGATGTAATAGTTTAGATTGTTCTTGATGTTTGAAAAATGGCTCTTTAAACCTGCGAGTGGTGGATGTTTTGAGAAAATATGATTAATAAAAGAATCTGACAATTGTTTAGTGTTGTGGTCTAAAGTTCCACCAGAGCCGTACACTTGATAATTAGAAGTGCTGATGCAGAGGTCTTTTCCAGCTGGTTGTAGTTGAAATAAACACATAATGTTAGGGTTTTGTAAAGAACATACGGACATCAGTCCAGAAAGACAACTATTGTCACCACCGCAATTCATTTCATGACCGACAGCAGTATGACCGGCGAAGTCCTTCCTGTGTTTCTCCAGCAGCTGATCCAGGTCCTGTAGATACGTAGTGAGGGCAGCTTGGATGACATGAACATAGCCCTTCGAACTGATGCCAGTCGTGTGATTCAGTCGAGCCTGATGGATCAACATCTGGACGTGGAAGGAGGCTCCGTTCACCCAGATCTTCAACCCACGGCTCCTCATCTGTCCGTCAAGCAGCAGGGAGTTTCTGAGGATGGTGAGATGGTTGCTCAGCTGTATCTCCAGTCTCTCTAGTTCACCCTGTAGGTGTCGGTTATCAGTCAGGTACATCCGATGGCGCTTCACATACTCCGACACAGTGTCCCGGACTCCTGAGGCCTTCTCTTCACCAAATGCCTGCAGGAACTTGCTGTATGAATCATCAGAAGTTGCAACGTGGCTCTTCATGGAAATATCTATGATCATGGAAATCATCAATGCTCCGAGTCCAACAGCATTTGGGAATAAAGTACACGAACTCAAACTAGATCCCAACTTCTCAACGTATTCTGGAATCTGATTGACCAGACCATCGGAGTAGGTCTGCAGCTCAGCGTTGGAGTTCAAACCAGAATACTTCAGCAGAGACCGGTCTAGGCCCACATCTGGAATGATACATGTTTCCCGTAAGGCTCTTTCATAAATATTGAGAGCACAGCTGTCATAAATCTCTTGTGAGTATTCACAGGAGCTTCCAGAGCCCATGTTTTCGACTGGAACCTGGAGACTCAAACAAAGCTGAGACGTACCCGAATTCACGCCAGAGAGCAATGAAATAGAATCCAGTCCCTCCCGTGTAACCAGGGTCACTCCACCAACAACCAATCAGGTCTCTGGAAAGTGAGGCGTGTTTATTGACTTCTGTCTAAAGTCCCAGTCCGTCCAGAGTCCAGATGTTTCGCAATAAAACCAAATATTTACCTGCACTAAAGACAGAGAAGCCACAAAATGTAAAAACCCAAGCTGGAAATGAATTCAGCCTTTTCTATTCATGTAATCTTTACATTTTATAGCTCTCATTGTTTCAGTCATGAGGCTCGACTGAATCAGAAGTGTTGCTTCATCTGAAGGATTCTCAGTACCGAACCAGAACAGAACAACGTCAGCTGCTGAAAAGTGGGTCACAACCCAGAAATCAGAAGCCGATATAACTGAACCGGAGGGAGAGGGAGGAGGAATGAGGAGAGAGTGAGGAGCAGCAGGAGCACTGGATGAGTGTTAAAGCAACAGATGAAACAAAGCTGAAACAAAGAGGAAGGTGTGAGAAGCCTTCTGTCTGCACTGCAGACCATGACGGAGGCAAAGTGCTGATGAAGTGTTGTGGGGGAGGACAGCTGACTCACCGAGGGGAGGGAGGGGTAAGGAGGAGCATCAGAGCTCCTCGTTGGCGTTATAAGAGCTGGAGCAGAGACCAGTCCACCGTGGACAGACCAGATCTGACCTCACGGACCAGTGACCGGCCCAACGCGCTGCTTCCCGTGAACCTCTTTACGATTCTGCCAAATCAAGTCTGTGGGCATCATTTGTAAATGAAGTCAGTGCTTCACAACTATGAAGGCGCTGATGTTGAGTGTTTCGTTGAGGAAGAGAGAGAAAGATCTGGAGACGAAGAAGTGAGAGAGTGTGGCAGACGGGGAGATGAGTAGGAGGAGAAGGAGATGTGTTGTCTGCATATTTTCCTTGCGTTAGCTCGTGTTACTGATAGTAGCCTCATCATGAGATAACTGCTCTATTAGGACTGTAGGAGCCGTGTATTTGATGTTCCACTAGTTGCTGCAGGCCAAGGGGCTTGCAGATCGTACCAGTTGTACCCACATGTGTTGCTGTGTGCAGGCTGACTGGAAGTCGTATGTGTTGATCTTCTGAGCACATTGCTTCGTTGTTCCGACAGGCAGTAACACAGGAGGGAGCCTGGTACATTCCTGCACGGGGAGGTTACCGTTTAGCTCGAGACAACGCAGGTTTATTGGTGCAGCGCCTTTCAATGCAGAATGATGTAATACATACATCAGAATGAACAGAGTGAAATCCAGGAGGACGACAGTGTCCAGATGGAGCCTGAGGAACACCACATGCTCTCCACCACATCACCTAGAAACGCAACAAGAACACATGGGAGAAATGTCGACCATTAACACAAACACAAACACAAACGCACACCAACACGCCGCCTGAATCGTTGGCCTCACCTTTGGTCAGAGAAGCTGAGCTGATACGGTGGAGTCAAGAAGCTACGGACCACGGATTGGTGAGCGAGAATCATTACCTGCGTGACACAGGACGGTCAGCAAGCATCCCCATCCCTCATGGCCTTCAAGAGACCTGCATGTAACCCTAAAGGATCCCCATGTTCTCTTTGATTCTAATTCTAATTCACTCAATGAACATCATCTGCATTGAAGAAGACTAGAAACTAGAGACTGAGACCATAAACTCATGTTTACAATGTTTACTGAGGGAATAAATCAAGAGAGAAGTAGAGTCATTTCCTCATAGACGTCTATGGGAGCAAAGGAGTCGCCCACTGCTGGTCACTACAGAGAAGTAGAGTCATTTCCTCATAGACGTCTATGGGAGCAGAGGAGTCGCCCCCTGCTGGTCACTACAGAGAAGTAGAGTCATTTCCTCATAGACGTCTATGGGAGCAGAGGAGTCGCCCCCTGCTGGTCACTACAGAGAAGTAAGAGTCATTTCCTCATAGACGTCTATGGAGCAGAGGAGTCGCCCCCTGCTGGTCACTACAGAGAAGTAGAGTCATTTCCTCATAGACGTCTATGGGAGCAGAGGAGTCGCCCCCTGCTGGTCACTACAGAGAAGTAGAGTCATTTCCTCATAGACGTCTATGGGAGCAGAGGAGTCGCCCCCTGCTGGTCACTACAGAGAAGTAGAGTCATTTCCTCATAGACGTCTATGGGGAGCAGAGGAGTCGCCCCCTGCTGGTCACTACAGAGAAGTAGAGTCATTTCCTCATAGACGTCTATGGGAGCAGAGGAGTCGGCCCCTGCTGGGCACTACAGAGAAGTAGAGTCATTTCCTCATAGACGTCTATGGGAGCAGAGGAGTGGCCCTCTGCTGGTCACTACACAGGACGCAGCTTTAGCACGTGACGTTTTGTCTGCTTCTGAGGACTTTTCATCTCCCGGGAACTTTGGTAAGGTTCTTTAATCAGGTTTGTCTCGTGTCGATGTTATCTTCCTGTTTATTATGAAAGTTAACCTTCCTCTCGTTTCAGGCAACTTCCCCCTGTGTCCGATTGTCTTCGCTGCCCCTTGATTGTTTCCCACTGTGAAACAGGACAAAGGGAGACGCAGACAATATATACTTGTGTATATATTGTCTGCGTCTCCCTTTGTCCTGTTTCGTCTTGTCCCACATCATATATCCTTTTGCCATCGCCTAGTCTTGCTATGGTTTTGTACTTTAAGGCACGATTTCAGTTGGTTCTTTTCTCAACGTTTGTTTTATAGATACTTTTTGTTCTTAGGTCTTAGTTTAAGGTTTTTCTCTTCTGAAACCTTTTATTTTTAAACCTTTCCTCTGGAGTCGTGCATTTGGGTTCGGGGCCGTTGTCCAGTCGTGACAACTGGTTATAACGTGACCTTTGTAGTGATTTCTTCTGTTCCACCTGACTCCTCCTCCTCCTCCTCCTCCTCTTCCTCATCTTAAAAGGATCTTTCTCCTGCGGCAGATGTATTCTGGATCGATGCTCGTTCATTCCTGACAGTGTGGAAGCCAACGTTCCTGCAATGACGTCACCGGAGACCACAGACGTTTCTGATTCCACTTCTCATGAACTCTGCAGGTTTCATGACATGGTTTCTACCCGTTGGATTGATTTCCATCTTTATTCTTCCTCTCATGTGATTATGTGGACGATTAAAGAGGAACAGAGTTCAGGAGGACATGCAGCGCTTTGGATGAAAACATTCGGTTGTTTGACGTTTCTCTGTAGAACCTTCAGAAGGCCTGTGAGCTCTTCACGTCTGGTCCACTGGAGAAGAACTTCAGCTACACAGAGAGACGGTGGCAGGAGGACAAAGAGACAAAGCGCACTCTGTCTGTCTCTGCAGTGCTCCTGGTGGTGATAAGCCGCTACTGCAACAACATCCCTCCCTCTCTCCCCCATCTCTCTGCGTCCCTCCTCCTCCTCCTCCTCCTCGATGATGCCCGAGACCGACCGACCAACCTGCGTGTTGTAGCCAGGCTCCCCAGATGTTCCGCTCCGCCCAAATGAGTCTGCGCAATGGCCGCTGAACCAATAGCGCGTCTGCGCTGGCGCACCGGGAGATAGCGGGAGACAAAAGAGAGGAGGAGGAGGAGGAGAGGGAGGGAGGAGGAGAGGGAGGGAGGAGAGGAGAAGACGGGATGAGGCGCGACCACACAGACTTTTTCCTCCGGTAAACAACCAGGACCCGGAGCCTGGGATCGTTTCTGGGGGGCAGGGCGGGGGGATTTTGGGGATACAGCCATGACAACGGGAGGAGGAGGAGGAGGAGGAGGAGGAGGTGGAGTAAGGCGGAGGAGGAGAGCCGGGCTCCCGGGAGTCTGCTGGAAAACCTGCTACTTCCCCATCCTGTTCTGGGTGGTGTCCGTCTGCGGGGAGGAGAAGACGCTGATCGTGGAGGTAGGCCCCCCCCCCCCCCCCCAATATTAATAATAATTTAATATTGATCCGTGCAGAAGAACACGTGCTCTGAGCCCTGTTACACCAAGAGAGCTTCAGAAGAACCTGCTCCTCAGCTCCTCTCCAAAAATAGGCCCCCTCCATAATTCATGGACCTGGCAACCAGTCGGAAGAGATGAAGGAGAACACGGGTTTGGGGGAGAAGGGGGGGGGGGGGGGGTAGCAGACAGATGTGTGTGCACACAGATGTGTGCGCACGTGGAGGTCTTTGTTGACAGGTTTCTGATGAAGATGCTGTTTGTGCATCATCACCTTTCTTCCACACATTGCGGTCGCTATGGAGGTGCTTGTTGCCGTGGGAGACGAGGTGTTTGGTTGGCTTGGGGGGATGTTTGGTGTTGCCGGTGACACTTTTCGTTCAGACAAAGGGAGCTGCAAATGCGGCGGCCGCACAAAGCAGATGTTTCTTTCCTCAGCTGAGGAACCACAGTCCTCTGGAAGCTCCACGTGAAGGTGGAACCCTTCAGGCAGCCGATGTGCACGGAGGAGCGCTCAGCTCCGAGATGGATTCCTTGCTTAATCGTGGTAAAGGTCTCCGAAGCCCCCACCCAGGTGACTTCCTTTGTCCAAGCACCAGTTCCTTTGCTGGCGCCGACACGGGGAGGAGCTCCACGGGACGATCCCCTCTGGGACGGAGACACTGATGGACGTACAGAATGAACAACGTGAACGATGTACAATATGATTCAAATACACGTATCACCTCCTGCTCGTCTTCCTTTAGGTTGATTTGTTGTACTGTTAGAAAATCCTGGTTTCGGTCATCGACTCTTCTGCCTTCTGACGTACGACATCTGCTTCAAAACAACGAGACGGTTTGAGCGCGAATCAGACTTTGAGGAACCGAGATGTCAATCATCTCGCTAATTTTAGCTGGATAACGGAACATCTGATTGACTTAGTTGAACCACGTAAAGGAACCGGGCCCTGATCTTGTGTCTGCCGATCCAATTGCAATGTGTGTAACAACAAAACATGATTCCCTCTCTGATGTTTATGTATTTATATAATATAATCATATTTTGTCCTTCAAATAAATCTCTAACCCAAAATAAAATTTGGGTCACAATTCACAATTGAACACTTTATAATTTACCTTTGCATAATACTCATTTTTACTGACTGGAGCGTGAACGCGTCACAGTGTTAAAGTGGACTGTAGCGAGCTAACAGCTAACGGGAACTAGCTCTCCGCATCACAGCAGCTCAGATCCGCCAAGTCAACTTTGATTGGTTCATTGTTTTTATTGTGTTGATTACAATCTGATCTGTTACAGCGTATTAATCTCCTTCACTGTGGAAACAGGCACTAAAAGTCCACGTAACATCACTCCTCTCTCCCTGTAGCTTAGCATGTTAGCATCTGAGGAGCGCTGTCCATCCAGAGAGTGGAGTACTCCACCTGTAACGTGATGGAGACACTCTGTTCACTCCACCTCAGGCCGTGTGTGTGTGTGTGAGTGTAGGCGGTGTGTGTGTGTGTGTGTGAGTGTAGGCGGTGTGTGTGTGTGTGTGTGAGTGTAGGCGGGGTGTGTGTGTGTGTGTGTGTGTGTGTGTGTGTGTGTGTGTGTGTGTAGGCGGTGTGTGTGTGTGTGTGTGTGTGTGTGTGTGTGTGTGTGTGTAGGCGGTGTGTGTGTGTGTGTGTGTGTGTGTGTGTGTGTGTGTGTGTGTGTGTGTGTGTGTGTGTGTGTGTGTGTGTGTGTGTGTAGGCGGTGTTACTAGAAGTCACTTTTCCTTTTGCTGGTTCAGAACATTTGGGCCTCGTTGTGTTTCTCTTCTCTTTGTTCAGTCGGTTGTGACTCAAATAACTACTTAAATAATTGAGGACCCTCAGAAAGCCTCCTGAGATGCATCGCTCTCCTCCGGGAGTCGGATTAACTCGTCTGTCCTTCAGGTGCGATTTCAGAAATAAAAGCTGTGGTTTACAGGCCGAATCTCTGCTCATCAAACTCTATGAGCAAATACAGGTTCCGTGTAATAAACACAAGCAGCGTGTCGGCGGTGCCCCGTCTGTCCGTCCCGCGTCCGTCAGACTGCGCTGTGAGGTCCTGCTGATGCGTTTCAGTAGATATATTCCATCCATGTTTCATCTTCTTTCCTTCGGACCATCCGTGACTCTACTGTTGCTTAGTAACCGCGAGGACGCAGATTGGCAAATACAATTAAGATGAATAAAAGCCGTTGCTAAGTAAAAAGTAAAGAGGTAACTTTTTGAGAAGGGAACTGAAAAAGACTCCAAACCTTTGTTTGAAAATTTGAAAATGAAAAGAGAACATTTAATTTAAATCGATCACAACGCTGAGCAGAATAAAACGACTTAAAGTCTTCAATTGTGGTTTTCTCTCATCCACAGTCCAAAACCCAGAGAGTAATTTTTCACAACTTGATAAAAGTAGACAAAGACGTGGTGACAGAAAGACATTTAACACGAGTCAACGTCTCCGCCTTCATCAACGTTTCTCCTCATTTCATGTCTGTTTTCCAAACAAATGCTGCTTCTACAATCGTCTGTGTTCCTCCGACGAACCAACTCTCCTTTGTCGGGAGGAGGCGGGACCTCCGTCCCCGTCGCCATGGTTACACAATCTGCTGGAGGCCGGCACTCGACAGAAGCACCAAAGTGCTGCTGCTCTGTAGGAAATGAATACAAAGTATATGAAACAGATCAGTGATAAATATTGTATAAATGATACAATAAAATGTATTCATGAATGACAGTTGATCCAACTCCTGATTTACTTACTGAGACACTTCCGTTATTTATTTTAAAATATAGATTATTTCTATTTATTTGTCTTTAATAGGAATGCAATATAAACTTCTTCAGAGTTTTTAAATATACATTTGGATCAGATTAAAGATTGTTGTTTGAGGTGCCGAAATTTACCGAAGGGTTTTTAGGGTTTTGTTTTATACTTTAAAATAAATATTGCTTACTTAACAGAAAGTATTTTTCATTATTTCATCCAGCGTCACCATTTAATCTTTTCCTCTTCGCTATTGAGACAAAACATAAAAGTCTTTTTGTCGTCAGTTTGTTGTCACCAAGAAAAGAAGAAAGTTTAGTTCATCTCTCTGCTCACTGGCGCCGTCCATCAGGTGATGCAGAGACCAATGTCCACTTCCTGTTGGTGTCTCGCCTGTCCCTGATTCGTCCCTCGCGTGTCACATGGTCCTGCTCAGGAAGCGAGCGTGCTGTGAGTCACCAGCAGAGTCACGTATGTTTTATTGAACATGTTCACGTGTGACGGTTTTATTTCTGCCACTCAGACGTGTTGCTGCACTCACCTTATATGAGGTGTGTGTGTGTGTGTGTGTGTGTGTGTGTGTGTGTGTGTGTGTGTGTGTGTGTGTGTGTGTGTTCAGAGTTGTGTGTCACTGTCATAATTGTTGTGCAGCTGGTAAATTATTTAATCCAAACGGCTTCTTCTGAGCCAGCAGCAGCTGGGCCACTAGTGCACACACACACATGCACACACACGCGCACACACACACACACACACACGCACACACACACACACACACAATGCACACACACGCGCACACACACACACACACACACACGCACACACACACACACACACACACGCACACGTTGGCACACTAAAGGGTGCAAAGATAGAAACATATTTAAATATAGAGGTGCCGAATATAGACACACACACATTCACACAAACATACAGACTAATGCAGTGGGTGTGTGTTAGTGTGTTAGTGTGTCTGTGAGTGTGTGAGTTCAGTTTTTGAAGGAGATTATTACATTAAATATGTATAATTTGGAAACAATGTGACCAATATAGAAAAGTACTTGTTGTTTGAAATAAAGAAGAACATTAATTAATTCATTTCTTGAAGGAACACTTTTGTAATGATTTAAAGCTGTGATTCTTGGTGGAATTTCTGCTTATTTCTTTTGATGATCTTTTTAAAAGCCTATTTTGTGGATTGAGTCATTTTCCAGGAATTAGACTGAGACGCTGTCGTCGCCGTCTAATTGGATTGTGAGTGACCAAAGGCCTTCAAGTTAGCCAGCTAACAGTGGACATCTGCGGCTAGCTGGCTAGTTAGCGGATAGCTGGCTAGTTAGCGGCTAGCTGGCTGATTAGCGGTTAGCTGGCGAATTGCACTTTGGTGTTGAGCTCACGGCGGAGAGGTTTCTGCTACTTCTACTGTCCGGAGAAGGTTCCGGGTCAAAGCCCGGAAGGGATCCCGGTTCACTGTCCAATCACAGCGCAGCAATCACCAGACTTTATTTCAGCGTCATTCCTCCCAAACGATGAGGCTTGTTGCTCTGAAATATTAATGAGCTACTGTGGAGAAGGAGCTGAGCCTCCTCCTCCGTACCTCCATCTATCTGCTGCTCCGTCTCCCGTTCTTCTCTCCTCTCTCTCTCTCTCTCTCTCTCTCTCTCTCTCTCTCTCTCTCTCTCTCTCTCTCTCTCTCTCTCTCTCTCTCTCTCTCTCTCGAGTGTTGTTGGATTGTTTTATGTCATATTAAAGAAAAAAATACAATATTTATTAAAAATCTTCAGAGGAAACTTGTGGATTGATTTTGAATCGGTGCGATTAAAATGTTCTGGGTATTTAGCTCTCTCTGATATATTCCATAAATAAGTCTTTTATTCCACCTCGATCAGGAGAACGTCAACAACATACTCATTCCATTTAATAAAGCGCCTTCATTTTATATTTGGTCCATTTTATGTTTTAAACAATAGTCTATAAAAGTGACTATTGTTCACAAACAATAGTTCTTGATGTTGAAATGGACCCTTCTGCGTGGCTTCAGACTATAAACAAACCAAATGTTCAGACCAAGACTTTGATCGCAGCCTTTTCTTGTTCTTGTTCTGTGTCAGACGTGGCTGAAGAACTACGGCTACCTGCTGCCTAACGACCTCCGCACCTCCGACCTGCGGCAGGAGAAGGCCATGCAGTCGGCCGTGGCCGCCATGCAGCGCTTCTACGGCATACCGGTGACGGGCGTCCTGGACGAGACCACCATAGAGTGAGTGAAGCACTTACAGGGGCATGTGCACGCTAAAGGAGCATCTTCATGCTAATGATGCACCTGCACGCTAAAGGAGAATCGTCATGCTAATGGTGCACCTGCACGCTAAAGGAGCATCTTCATGCTAATCATGCACCTGCATGCTAAAGGAGCATCTTTATGCTAAGGGTGCACCTGCACGCTAAAGGAGCAACTTCATGCTAATGGTGCACCTGCACGCTAAAGGAGCATCTTCATGCTAATGGTGCACCTGCATGCTAAAGGAGCATCTTCATGCTAATGGTGCACCTGCACGCTAAAGGAGCATCTTCATGCTAATGGTGCACCTGTATGCTAAAGGAGCATCTTTATGCTAATGGTGCACCTGCACGCTAAAGGAGCATCTTTATGCTAAGGGTGCCCCTGCATGCTAAAGGAGCATCTTCATGCTAATGGTGCACCTGCACGCTAAAGGAGCATGTTTTTGATCGTCATCCGATCATCAGATTATCCTTCTGCAGAACAAAAACTCCTCTGGAGAATCAGAACAGCACATTTCATAATCCCTCTGCACAAATATCAAGGTGTAAATTAATCTTTACAAACGCCTTGAACAGCTGAGAACACATCTTATTTTAAGTGGATTTGGTGAACTTGTTACTGCTTTTATCCAGCAAATTCTGGGGCGCCGACTGTCTCGTTTGAATTACACTCATTAGTATTTGCTGATGTTTCCTTGAGGGAGTGGGGGGGGGAGGGGTTGGAAGGTGGTAATGCTTCATGGATGCATTATTTACATGATGAGATGGGTCCAACTCTCCCATCACTAATTATTCAACCAGTCCAACCAGTTGTTTTGGAAAGAATAACATTTCTTCTGGACTCATGCAACCAAACGCCATCGTCCACCACGTTCCAACAACATCTTCCCTCCTGTGTGTCACAAACCCTCAACACCGTAACAAACGTCAACAACCGTCCTGTTGTACGTTTAATGAACGTAATTTCATAGGAGACATGTTCAGCATTTCGTGTACGTAGCCTTCATGGTCTCATTGAGAATGAATTCAATAAGAATCAGCACATAAAGTTTTAGCGCGACGCTAAATGTTTTCACGCTCGATAGCATCAGCTGATATGTCAGCTTGCGTGCAGGTGGATGAGGAGGCCTCGCTGTGGCGTCCCCGACCACCCTCATAGCAGCCGGCGGCAGAGGAACAAACGCTACGCCCTGACGGGGCAGAAGTGGAGGGACAAGAAGATCTCCTACAGGTATTTATCCCTCAAGTCTCCATCCCACAGGACCCTGAATGCATCACTGCATTACTTCGTCTCTCTCCCTGCTCTTCCTCTTCGTTCCTCCTCTCCCTCCACCTTTCTCTTTCTTCTCCTCCTGTCTGCATGCGGTGGAGCCTCCATGTGACACAGGTCCAATGCGGATCACATCCAACGCTCGTTGTTTCTTCTTTTTCTCTCACTCTCATGTTCAGGTTCATAACCAGCTTTAGTGTATCAAAGAATATATAAACTAAACCACCATTTCCAATCACTAATTTGCCATGGGACCAGAGCAGAGAGGTGAATTCACTTAAAGAACCCGAGGTTCCCTCCTCTCGTTTACCATCTGCACCACTATCTCGTCTCTTCCTCCCTCTCTCTCTGGCTCAGGGAGGTTCCATGAAGGTGTTTCCTCACAGTGGATGATGTGACGGTATGAAACATGAAGCTTCCTCTCTCATAGATGGACCGTTTCCTCTTCTAACAACCCCTCGGCTGCACATGGACTCATCCGTGCAGCCGCTGCCACCATGTCTAAGTGTTTGAGCTGAGTAGGTGTATGAAGTGTGTAGCACTTTGTTCCTGACTAACGTGTCCCAACAACATTCGTTGTGATGGGACATGAATCCCAAAGACTTTTGTTCATCCTCTAACTTGTCATGTTCGCATGCTGGCGCTAGCATTTAGCATCTAGCATCACAGAGCTGCTAGGGCGTGCGAGGGCGCTGCAGTCGGATCATGCTAGCGCTAACTAGCTCGTCCGCGTTGTCTGTGCTTCTTGGAGATCCAACGTGACTCATCCCTGCATCATGGTCCTGCTGGAGGTCAGACGGACCTCTAACGCTCTGTTTCTGTCGTGTTCCTCACAGCATATCGAACTTCACCCCCAAGGTGGGAGAGAAGGACACCCAGCGAGCCATCCGGCAGGCCTTCACCGTGTGGCAGGCGGTGACCCCGCTCTCCTTCCAGGTCAGAGGTCACACCCATCTGGTACCAGAGATCTCAGATAATACGTCCTACATGGATGCATTTCATTCATTATCCCGACTTTTACTCCTTTTCCACTTGAGGAACACAAAAACAAACTTGCATCCCTGCACAAGAATAATGATAGTAATGATATTCACAGTGCAGAAACGTGAGTCCAGCTTGGACGCTTTGCGAGATAGTGACGCCCCCTGTGCCTCCCCTCCCTCGCCCCCCCAGGAGGTGCCGTACTCAGAGATCAAGAACGACGGCAAGGAGGCGGACATCATGATCTTCTTCGCCTCTGGTTTCCACGGCGACAGCTCCCCCTTCGACGGGGAGGGCGGGTTCCTGGCGCACGCCTACTTCCCCGGCGCCGGCATCGGAGGAGACACCCACTTCGACTCGGACGAGCCGTGGACGCTCGGCAACGCCAACCACGACGGTGAGGCGCATCATGTGATGTCAGGAAGTCTTTGAGTCCCCTTGAGAGGCGGGTTCCATCACAGAGCTGCTTCCTAACTTTTGCTGTGAAGTCGGCGTTTTAAATGGTTTTCCTTTCATCTTGGTCTTTTCTCCAGGTAACGACCTGTTCCTGGTGGCGGTCCACGAGTTGGGCCACGCGTTGGGCTTGGAGCACTCCAACGATCCGAGCGCCATCATGGCGCCTTTCTACCAGTACATGGACACTCACAACTTCAAACTGCCTCTGGACGACCTGCAGGGCATCCAGAAGATCTACGGTGAGGTTCAGGCCTCCCGAGGCCTTCAGACCAGCTTCAGAGGACAGTTAGCTGAAGGAGGGCTCGTGAAACGAAATGAATGAAATGATGAATGAATGAATGAACAGAAGATCTCTGGTGGAGAATATCGCTGAGCTCACTGTGCTCTCCTCCTGTAACATGGGAGAATGAGGAAGCTAGTTAGCATACCATCCAACCTCTTTAGCCCGTGTGCAGTTTGCTCCCTTCACGGGATAAAAGTCTGATTTCAGAATTCATTACGTCATCTTGTCTCATCTTCCTGGAGATATCTACCCACAAGTCATATCGTGACAGAACACGCTGTGCTGACATTGGGTGTTAGCATGTAGCATGAGAGCTAATCCAGCTTGGATGAGGCTGGTATCCATCACATGAACTCTCACACTCTGACACTGAACTACAGTCGCACACTGAGAGGACCCAGAGGTGTCATTGGGTTGATATTATTATCGCTATCCAAAGGAATCCCCACCGCCATGCTGGAGCCCACCCGCCCGCTGCCCACCTTACCCTCTCGGAGGACGCACTCCACCTCGGAGCGCAAGCACGACCGCCACGGCCGGCCGGCGCGCCCCCCCGGAGACCGCCCGGCGCTGCCCGGCAACGGCAAGCCCAACATCTGTGACGGCAACTTCAGCACCGTGGCCTTCTTCAGGAGGGAGATGTTCGTCTTCAAGGTGGGCGTGTGTGTGTGTGTGTCACCCACCAAAAGAAAAACCCATTTTGATGTCTCTGATCTTTAAACTGAACGTTAGAAAAGGTCACCAGTCCGTCTGTCTCTCTGTATGTCTGTCCCTCTGTATATCTGTCTGCCTGTCCCTTGAGAGTTCCAGGTTCGAGGTGGTCCGATGCTTGGACGGAGTGGGGGGGACGGGGGTCAGAGATGAGGAGGAACTTCCTGCTTCCTCCTCCTCTGTGACGTTTTGAGCGCTCCGATTGGCCGATTCCACAGATGACTCGCTCCATCGGCCCCCTGTGAGGTAGAATGTCTAACGGGTTCTTTGCCTGCAGGACCGCTGGTTCTGGCGCCTGAGGAACAACAAGGTGCAGGAGGGTTACCCCATGCAGATCGACCAGTTCTGGAAGGGCCTGCCGCCTCACATCGACGCCGCCTACGAGAGGTCGGACGGGAAATTTGTCTTTTTCAAAGGTACAAGGAGACCCCCCCCCCCCCCGTCCCCCACACTCACTTAATGTCTGTACAATATATAGAAATCTAAACTAAAGATATACACATATCTCTGGTTCTTTGGCTCCTCAAAGCGTTGTGATGATAAAAGCACCTTTGCTTCTCCAGCAGTGATGTGTGCAGCTCATTTATTAGAGTCACAGCTGAGTGCTGCTGCCTTCAATGACTGAAGGAGCCATCAGTGTTTTTCTGTGTTCATGGTCCCCGAGTGCTCGGGGGAAACAGGCTGTTTAAACGAGTTCCTGTTCATTGCCCCTAAAAGAGACTTTAAAGAGAAGCTTGTGTGATTTTGAATCTCCTTTTCTGTTTTCCCACATCTAACTTCTGAACACAATATTACAAAATAACAGAGCTGCAGACGGGCTGCTCGCTTCTTCCTGCTTTAAAAAACAAACAATACAATTTATTCTGAAGGTTATGTTGGTGTTTGGACGCTTTTGAAGAGGTAATTTTCCTTCTGTTGTGTTGTCTCTCTGCCAGCTGGATAACATTTATCGCTCCTCTGGATCCTGGATTTGATTAATTTCTCAAATCTAAATATTAACCATGATTCAGAATCCTTGGGGTTGTGATTGCACTTTCAACAGATGCTGAATCTGAAAGCATGTGTGCCATAGTCAACGTGGTGACTCGTCTCTCCTGCAGGCGACAAGTACTGGGTGTTCAAGGAGGTGACGGCGGAGCCGGGTTACCCCCTCGGCCTGGTGGAGCTGGGCAGCTGCCTGCCCAAAGACGGCATCGACACGGCGCTGCGCTGGGAGCCTGTTGGCAAAACCTACTTCTTTAAAGGGGACCAGTACTGGCGCTACAACGAGGAGAAGCATACGGCGGACCTGGGGTACCCCAAACCCATCAGCGTGTGGAAAGGGGTCCCGGACGCACCGCAGGGGGCCTTCATCAGCAGGGAGGGATGTGAGTGACAGGGTGCTACGATACGTTTGTGGCCTTCTCGGGAGGACCAACCCTAGCTTCCATAAATAGCATAAATCAAAGCGAGAACATATTCAAGTATGTAGGACTGAGGTATACGTCTCTGGTAGGGACCTGTCAATCAGCGTGTAGCCCCGCCCTGCTTTATGGTCTGTTTGACTCTAAATAGACCATAATTTACTACAGTAACATCATGCTGTATTGAAGAAGACTAGAGATTGAGACCATGAACTCATGTTTACAATGTTTTGTGGGAATAAATCAAGAGAGAAGTATTCATTTTCTCATAGACTTCTATGGGAGCAGAGGAGTCGACCCCTGCTGGTCACTACAGATATTGCAGCTGTGACACGAGAAGCTCTTCCTTCACTTTAGGAGCAGTTTCATGTTTAGAGCGGGTTGACCATTAACAGTTCCATCCCCGATTCCCACTGTTTCAATTGATGCCAAGTTTCTGTGCAGCGGTCTAGAAGTTCAAGACACATGTTGTCCTGACCCGACTCCCCTGAGACGCCATTGATGATTTGACGTTAATCTATAGGGTTTCTGAAACCTTTTGAAACCCCCACTCAACTCTCTAATTTCCCATTTCTGTTCTCTGCCCCCCCCCCCCCCTCCTCCCCTCAGACTACACCTACTTCTACAAGGGGAAGGAGTACTGGAAGTTCGACAACCAGAAGCTGACGGTGGAGCCCGGGTACCCCAAGTCCATCCTGCGCGACTGGATGGGCTGCGAGCAGTCGGACATGGAGCGCTCCGGGAGCAAGGCGAACCGCGGGGACCGCCAGCTGCCCATGGACGACGTGGACATCATGGTGACCATCAACGACGCACCGACCACGGTCAACGCCATCGCCGTGGTGATCCCCTGCGTCCTGTCGCTGTGCATCCTGGTCCTGGTCTACACCGTCTTTCAGTTCAAGAACAAAGGAGTGCAGCAGAGCGCCATGACGCAGCAGTACTACAAGTACCCCGTCCAGGAGTGGGTGTGACCACCAACCCTACTTCCAAGAGGTCCGAGTTGGCAGTTCGGAGGTGTGGGGGGTCGGGGGGGGTCGAGCAGGTCGTCATACTGTGAGCTCGCTCACGTTGGCTAACGGCCAAACATTGCTAGCAAACGAAGCAATGGAGAGTCCAGTGTTTCCAGTGGGCAGAGGGGTTGGGGGGGGGGCCTGACTGGCCTTTTCATTTTCCGATGCTGCTCTCAGTCCGCCGGTGGGAGCGAGCTCACCTGTGTGTCTGAGGGAGACGGGTTTAGTGTGTTATCATGTTACCGGGCGGGGCGCTTTGAGGGGGCAGCGTGCCGGGACGTGATTGGCTGAGGTGGACGATGCAGCCGATTTGCCACTCTCTGGACAGAGATGATAGTGATGATTCTGTCCTCAAAGGCAGAAGACCTCCTCCGAGATCTGACTCGACGTGAACATGCGGACTCCAAACAATGAGTCAGATGAAACAAAGATTTGAAATGTCAAATTTGAAGATAAAATATAGGTAGAAAGACCGTAAGAAAAAGGAAACCAGGGACCTCACCTTGGATCTGTGAATTGAATTGAATTGATTTATACTTGTATGAAGCTGTAAAAATGTCAGGAGGACCTTTTTTTTACCACACAGAACTGAAAGCATCTTCGCCACCATAAAATCTAATCTTCGCTCTCATTTACGCCGCTTGGACTTTGGTTTTCGCGGATGTAGAATAGCCAGTCGTCAGCGTAGTGTGACAGATATTAGATATTAGATGAATGATCGTTGAACGATACGTCTTATCTCGGTCACAACAGTTCGTTCTCAAATTAATTCAGACTGAAGGGTCGAATGAAAAGATGTTTTACTTTCACTGGAAAAGTCAAAGCTATTGATATCTTTGGTGATTGAACAAAATATTTAATTGTACTTCTGGGATTTGATCCCTTTTGTCCCTTTTTGCCAACAAACTCAACTAAATATTGTTGCCAATTTCTTTATATTTATAAAAATGTTTATCAGGATTTCACACAAAATGAATTATCCTTTTAAATTTGGGGATTTCTACAAATCTAGTTCTTTAATATTTATTGTCTCTTCCAGCTGTGGAAGTATTTGGACCAGGCTTAAGTATAAAGAAATGATTTCTTTATACGTTGTACATTTCAAGAATAAAGAGGAATATGTTAAGAATGAAGTTGATTTTTCAGAATATGCTCTAATGCCAATAGTTTCATTTATCTCAAGAGTTTATTCTAGTAATGTTGTCTTTATTCTCATACTTCAACTTTACTCTTATTTAAATTATTCCACATCATTGGGTTTATTTTCCATTTCAACTTCATGCTTAAACTTTTGAATTTTTTCCTCAACATTTTTCCCTTTATTCTCTAATAATACTCCAACTCCAAAAAGACATTTCCACTTTGTTCTTGAAATGTCGCTCCTCATTGTGTCCTCAGTCTGTATCCGGTTCTGAACATCCAATGTCACTCCAACACTTCCTGAATCCTGGATTGGGTCTTTAGAATAGTTCTGAGTCTTTGTTCTCCTCATTGCAGATGCACATTGTTTTCATCAGGATTAAATACGGACTTTTGTTGACGGTTAAGAGATTGTCTAGAGATTTGTCCAAAAAGATTCATGGCGGTCGAGACGTGTCCACTGCAAGGCTGGACTGGTCACGGAGCCGTTTACCACAATACCTCCTCCTGTCTCCCTGCGTCTCCTTCAGTCTCCTTCTGTCTTCTTCTGTCTCCTTGCGTCTCCTTCTGTCTCCTTCTGTCTTCTTCTGTCTCCCTGCGTCTCCTTCAGTCTCCTTCTGTCTTCTTCTGTCTCCTTGCGTCTCCTTCAGTCTCCTTCTGTCTCCCTGCGTCTCGTTCAGTCTCCTCCTGTCTTCTTCTGTCCCCCTGTCTCCTTCTGTCTCCCTGCGTCTCCTTCTGTCTCCTTCTGTCTCCCTCTGTCTCCCTCCGTCTCCCTGCGTCTCCTGTCTTTAGTTTTTTAACTCTAATCATTCACGTCTTGATGAATTAGTTCATCGTCAGTGTTCGATAAGATATTTAGTCACATATTCAACATTAACATTCAGTTTGTGTTGAGAACTGGAACGTGATCGCTGGTGCAATTTAAGTCAGTGTTTTAAATGTGTAATTCCACTGTGGAAAGAAACCTTTGAAGGACGATTAAGTGAGAACATCTGAACTCTTGAAGCCTCCTGGAGGGGAAACGACCCACGGAGACCTACCAACATCTCCTGATTCCTCCCACTCGGATTATTAACAACTCCAGAGTGTCCATCAGGTCCTCAGACCACCACCATCTCCTCTCATGATCCCAGGGATTTAGTGCCTTGCTCTGCAGCACTTCAGCGGTAGACGTTGAGGGAGAGAAGCTCCATCTTTCTGGGGCCTTAAAGCCGGCTGGTTGTCTGGTTTGTTTTTTATTTGAACTGTTGAGACTCTTGTTCTCACATCATCTTCATCGGGTTGGTGTTTTTATTAAAGGCGCTTTGTGGTGTTTCTGAGACATTTAAATACATTCTATTGTGTGCAGAGACACCACCCTCCTCCACCCCTCTGGGTGGAAACTGTAAATACTTACAGAAGAACAGGAGTTTACGGCAGTAGAGTGTATCTCAGCAGATGTCTGTTTGTGAAAATGAAGAGAACTTACTGTTGTGATGTATTGTTGCTTATTCATGCTACTTATTTAAGACAAAATACGTACTTTGTTTTTTAGTTTGAAACTGATTTATTCAACGGTTCTGGTCTCGTTAGCGAAGGGTCGTCCCATTTGCCTCCTTTATGGTTATTGTGTGCAGACTCGGGACAAACTGCCACTCGGATTCGTCTCTGCGTCCAACCGGACGCCACCTGATCCTCGTCTTCCTCCATCGACTCAAAAGATTAACGAGGGACCTTCTGTGTCCAGAACAAAAAGTAAAAGAACACGTAAAAGACGCTCAGACGTCACTTTGTCTCAACGTCACGTCGTCTCACGGTCACTTCGTCTCACGGTCCCTTTGTCCCGGGTCTGGGTTTTTTCTGGTGGCTTTGGACCACAGTGCGTTGCCTTTAAACGTAGACTGATCACATGTCGCCACTGCTCAGAGGTCAAAGGTCACATTGCGTTACGGTAAATTCAGCAGACCATCCTGCATGAAATGAGCAGGACGGGGTTTGTTTTGGAGGTAACGTGATGAAGTTTATTTGGTCCAATGGGACATCTGGACCGTTGGACCGTCCTTTGGTTTCACACTGGACATGAAAGTGTTGCTGTAAGTCTTTGTTTCTTTAACACGTTCACGCCTTATTAACCACCCGACCTGGTTGAGTTAACCGACCTGTTAAGGTCCATTTACCGATCCAATGAATGAGGTAAAGGAAGAGCGACGGACTTCAGACCGGTTTGTTTCAGCAGTCCAACGTGCACGCTCCTCATCTTTGGGCTCGAGGTGGACCTCACATATGAAGACGGTTTCACAAGACCTCAAGTTGCAGATAAAAGTGAACGTCTTCATGTGTCTCCGTCTTCTTTAACTTGTTTCCTTTAGTTTCTAACGTTCTCTTTTATCAAGAAAATATGTAAACGTCGGTGAATGAAAAGATATCAAAGGCAGAACGACTTTCTGGAGTAAGATGTATTGGTATTAATTGGATAATATTACAACTACTTCTACTACTACTACTATTACTACTACTAATAGTACTACTACTAGGGAGGTTTTAGCTTTAAGACAGATACATTTCTGCGTGTTCTTATGAAGAAAGTAAAATGTTCTCTGTAAATACTTAGTTACTTTAGTTTGGGTTTTTCACTAAATGGGTTGATTATGAAGATGAAAGTGAAGAATGTGACCTCGGTCACTTTATTACTCGCAGGTTGATGTGCTCCTCTGATTCCTCTCCAGGCAGATTGATAATATCAGCGGATGTAAATATGAACACAAGCTTTGGAAACGTTTTTATTTCTCTTATTGTCTCTATGATTTAAGATGCACATAATTACCATTATTCTAACAGTGCTGAATAAGCACGTTTACGTTCAGGACTATTCTGTGAACCCGTTTTGTTTCTAATGAGACAAAGTGTGATTATTTCAAATGTTAACATGGATTTCTTTTCTCTCCTGTTTGGTTTTTTGTCCCACGTGGATTATATTCCAATAACACCGTGTTCTGTTAACGAGGAAAAGCCAATAAAAGCTCAGTTGTGTACCTTTGTTTGTTCCGCTGGTGTTAGTGGCCGATACGCTCAGGCTCATTATTCTGTAGTTATTCTCTTACAGCATTGCTGGATTTATTTGATTAAAATGGGAAAATATCAGTTTTGGTTATTAGTCCCTGTTAGCTCAGGGTGGTCCCCCGTTATTTAGTTCTTTTCTGATTTATCGTAGTGACTTTTAATACTTCCATTGATGTCAATCATTTATTTCAATCTAAGCTCCTTTCAACAAAGTGTCATCAAAAAGAAGACGTTGTGATAAAGTTTAAAGATAAAAACAAACAGAGCAGCAGCCACCTGCAGAGGGTGGTGAAAACCGCCCAACGCATCACCGGTTCCTCCCTCCCCACCATCGAGGCGTCCAGAGCAAGAGATGTTTGCCCTCCTGCCCTCTGGGAGGCGCTACAGGGGTCAGGAACAGCTTCATCCCTGCGGCCGTCACTCTACTAAACTCTGCCCCCCCTGAACTCTGAACTCTGCCCCCCCCTCCCCCATCTCCCTCAGTGACTGTACTCCCCCCTCCACCCTGGCTTGACTGCCACACCCTCCTCCAGCCACTGAACATTTGCACTGTTATTGTACATCCATTTCTTACTGTACACATCTATTTATTCACTTATTACACTTTACATATGCACATACTCTGCACTTTTTGCTACTTTGCACTTCTGGTCGGATGTTAAACTGCATTTCGTTGCCTCAGTACTTGTACCCTGTGCAGTGACAATAAAGTTTAATCTAATCTAATCTAAACATAACGTTTTCAAACTAAAAAAACAAAAACATTTAAACAAATCAAAAATAATAAAAAAGTAAGATAAACTTTTCTTTGGGTTAATAAAACAGAATAACTGGAGCAGCTCGACATGTTAAAAAGAACATCATGAAAACATTTATGATCTTCATCTCTATCTGCTCTAACCCAAAGTCACAAAGACCGTCAGAGGTGAGATCTTCACTTTATCTCGTGTGTTAATGTATGGAAACATCCTCTCAGTGAAGGTGTGTGTGAAGGTGTGTATGTGTGTGTTAGTATCAGGATCAGAGAAACGCAGGTTCCCTCCGTTCCAGTCCAGACGCACTCTGATCCTCTGAGGCTTCGTCTGCACAGAGAGATAAGTTGGTGGAGCTGGTGGTGACCGTGCTGAGTATTTACCTTCATACAACACTATTCCCAATATCCCAGACTGTAGGTCTCCTTTCCTCTGGACAGACTCTGCTGACACACCCAGATACCAGCCTCTACTGTCTCCTACTTCAACATCCCAGCTGTGAGTCCCTGAGTTAAATCCCTCAGAGCCCAGAACAGACCAGCGTTCATTAAACCTCTCTGGATTATCAGGAAGCTTCTGTCTCCCTCCTCGTCTCACGCTGGTCAGATCTTCAGACAGGATGAGGTCTGGATGAGCAGTGTTTGGGTCCAGAACCACAAGAGTGTAGGAGACCATCTCCTTCATCTTGCTCCAGATGTTGTAGGTCAGGTTGCCCAGGTGTTTGGCCTGGTCTATCAGAGCTCCTGAGAGCAGCTGGTGGTCCTCCAGCAGAGGGCGCTGCTGGACTCTTTCCACTGCAGCCTTGTAGTGGTTCAGGAAGGAGACGTCTTCAGCTCTCAGCTGCTCCTCTGTGGCTCTGACTGTGTCTGAAAGAGCTGCTATCTCTCTGCTCAGAGCCTTCATCTTCTCCTCCATCATCTGACTCTTCTGCTCCTCTTCCTCCCTCAGAGCAGAGATCCTGGCCTCCTCTTCCTTCTTTAGAAACCGGTGAAGCTTCTTAAACTGATCCTGAATCAGCCTCTCTGTGTCTCGGGCCTGGACCTTCATGTGTGCTGCTGTTTGATCACACGTCACTTTAACTTGTTCAAGGAGCTTTAACTTCTCCTTTAAGGCCTCCAGAGGTTCCTGAAGGTTCTTCTTGTGTTCTACAGCAGCTTCATCGATGGGTCTGAATCTGTGGTTGGTGTGTTTCTGTGAATCTCTGCAGACGAGACACACTGGCTGCAGATGGTCCAGACAGAAGAGTCTGAGCTTCTCAGAGTGCAAACTGCAGAGAGTCTCTGAAGCTCTCTCCAGTAAGAAGGCCTCACACAGGTTCTTTAACACCAGGTTACAAGGTGGATGTGACCCTGAAGATGTTGTCCTACAAACTGGACACTCCTGAGCTTGTTTCTCTCTCCACCAGCTCTTCAGACAGACTTTACAGAAGCTGTGGCTACATGACAGAAGAACAGGGTTCTTGAAGACTTCCTGACAGACCGGACAGCAGAGATCCTCCTCGGATCTGGAAGCCATTTGGTCTCAAAGCGAAGCTGAAGACACAGAAAGTAGATCAGTCACGGCTTCCCTCCCTCTTCTACTAACTTCACTGTTTCATACTATGGCGTTATATTTGTGCCACAATCCTGAGCGCGTAATTGTAAATTTTGAGCACAGAGAACTATGTTGTAGCAAAGAAAAACATCCCGTGCGCGCAGTTTACTGAGGTGCCCTCGCCACAAACTGGTTTTCTGCGCGCAGGCAGGGGTTGCTGCGCTCTCTCCACCTCTTCACGCTGCGCTCGCTCGACGTTTCACTCACGCGCTCGCTCGACTTGCAGCAGCGTTACATTTGTGCCCACAACCCACCCCTCCGAGGATTAAAGAAGGTCCATTGTGATTGGCTGTTGGGCTCCAATCACAACGCTTCCTAACGAAGACGAAAAAAAGTGATATTAGAAGTCCGGCTAGCCACCCTCAGACATGACCGAAGCAAATCATGAGAACAGCAAGTGTTTTAATCCAGGCCGTTAGCATTTAGCACAAATGCTGCAAACTTCAACAACTCGCTGAGCTTCCGCGATGCTGTAGGTAGTTCTACTAGCGTTGTGATTGGAGGACTGGAAAACCAGTTTGTGGCGAGGGCACCTGAGTAAACTGCGCGCACGGGATGTTTTTCTTTGCTACAACATAGTTCTCTGTGCTCAAAATTTACAATTACGCGCTCAGGATTGTGGCACAAATATAACGCCATATGTTTCTACTCAAACTCACCTTCAGTCTGTGGAGCGTTCGGTTGTAGTTTCCCTCTTTTCTCTCCTGTAGAATCAATCAGAGGACGTCGTTGGTTTCTTCTTACGATGAATTTGATCGTCTCTTGTCAGTCTGTGTGTCTCTCTTCAGCGAGAAGGAAAGAGAAACTGGTTGGTCTCAGGTGAGTCAGGTGAGGGGAGGAGCTTTGTCACCTGTGAGGAAGGTTGTTGGTTGTCACACTGAGGTGTGTCCTGATTCCATTTGGATCCACAGGCTGATGCAACAGTCACGTGTTCAAATTTGAATGCAGGTGGAAGGAAGTGGAAGTTAAAATGTGCCTTTAATGGAGGACTATGGAGCATCAAGTGAAAGAGCTGAAGAGGAAAATAGTCAAAGAGCGATGTGATGTGCAGAAAAAGTTTTTTCATTTGTGTGAATAAATCGTACGTCAATTTATTCGGGGGTTATACCGAGAGAGGAGCACATCCGGGATGGAGCAGGATCAGGTTTCGCTGAACTGTTCAACACTTTGAGTTTCAGTTTGTCCTTTAGTGAGAGTCTGCAAGCGAGCGTTATATAAACGTTACTTATCCTATCAAATATATAATTAAGCTGTCACATCCATCTATCTATCCATCCATCTATACTTAACAATTCTATATGTTCACCATCACAATATTGTCTTATTCAGGCGTCCACGTACAGTTCTGAAGTCTATGAGGAAATGACTCTACTTCTCTCTTGATTTATTCCCTCAGTAAACATTGTAAACATGAGTTTATGGTCTCAGTCTCTAGTTTCAGGTCTTCTTCAATACAACATGATGTTCATTTAGTGACTTATGGTCCATTAAGAGTCAAACAGACCATAAAGCAGGAGATGCTTTAGGGCGGGGCTACACGCTGATTGACAGGTCTCTAACAGACCATAAAGCAGGAGATGCTTTAGGGCGGGGCTACACGCTGATTGACAGGTCTCTAACAGACCATAAAGCAGGAGATGCTCCTTCTCTGAGATTTGCTTCCATTACAGCACCTCTATTACCAAATGTATGTCAAAGTATATGAATAATATAATGATATATTCATTGCGGTGGAAGCGCCTTGGGTTGTTTTAATAACGCCTTTCTACGTCCTACGTCACCACGTTGACCCCGAAGCGGAAGTGAACACGTGCGGAGGAAGAAGGAATCACCACGCATGTTGAGAGGACACGGCTCGTACTCAGGTAGTCTTCTCTCCAAGCACCTGGAAGCGTTTTAGAAACACACATCGGGTGTGTTGATGAAACGCTTTGTGTTTATAATAATGTGTGTTCGCGCTCTGGCGGCTGAAGTAAAACTCCGAAAGCTAGCTAGCTAGCTAACCGGCTAACATCGTTACTCCCACCGGACTGTCATCGCTGCTAAACACGCAACTTTTACATAGTTTAATCTATCTGGACAGACACGATTACTAGAGGCTCGTGACCGTTAACAAAGCTCTGCGATGTTCTCCTCGCTGGCTGCTAAACGCCTAAAACTTCTAAAAGCTAACTAGCTAGCCGGCTAGCATTTGTTGCCGGACCCAAGTGTCACAGCTAACGGTAACTTAACGTTACTTCACGCGTGTATTCTTATTAGTTAATGGACACAACAAACATGACACAACCATCAGCAGCTCGTGTGGTACACAAACGTGCCTTGTGTGTGTTTATTTATCTTCTTCTAAAACATGTGGTGTCGTTCCAGGACCAGAAGCTAACCCCCCCCCAGCCCCTCCTACGTCATCATGGCCGTCAGAGCGTCGTTTGAGAAAAACAACGAGATCGGCTGCTTCGCCAAACTGACCAACACCTACTGCCTCGTGGCCGTGGGCGGCTCGGAGAACTTCTACAGGTGAGCAGCGCGTGCGTGGGGTGACTAGTACTGATGCCACCTGAGCGCGAGCCTCTCCGGCTGACGTCACCAATCTAAGTCTGAGTGGTTCTCCCCTCTCGTGCCTCCAGTGTGAGACGTTAGATGTTATTTAGCAGAGGTAAACAGGAAGTGGTAAACGTGTCTTAATAATCGTTATCAAGGTAAGAAATGACCTTTTGTCTGGACAGACTGGTCGAAAACTTCCTGTTTCACAATAAAAGCAGCCAAGAACTGGAGCAAATCAGAATAAATCAATCCGTGGTCAAAGAGCGTTAAAGGATGTAAACGGGAAGAGCTGGTATCTTTTGAGTGGAATCATGGGGTGATTTAAGTAACATGTTCATGCACGTGTAGCTTGTTTTACTCTGTGTTCATATTGACTGAAGTGGTTACTAAAAGAGACCCTTTGTGTGAGCGCAGTGTGTTCGAGGGGGAGCTGTCAGAAACCATCCCCGTGGTCCACGCTTCCATCGCTGGCTGTCGCATCATCGGGAGGATGTGTGTGGGTGAGTGACGCCTCGGAACACACACACACACACACACACACACACACACACACACAGCAGAACAAGAGTGGTCCTTCACAATGTTTTCAGGCCAGGGAGCCCAAACCGAGACGAAGTAGAGACCCCTGCTGTGAATGTGTTAGTGGTGTCAGAGTTGCTCTTTCTGTTTGTTTTTAAATGGTGTGTATCAGTTACTGCTGATGTTCCTTTTATAGTAACACGTCCCTAAATTGCTGCAGGCGAATACTAATATTAGATTAGATTTTACATTCAACTTTATTGTCATTGCACAAAGTACTGAGACAACAAAATGCAGTACAGCATTTAACCAGAAGTGCAAGAGAGCAGAGTATATCTATGTGGTGTGTATATGTGAATATGTACAGTATAAAATACACATGGAGGAGTATAAACATTAAGCAGGTTGTAAACATGAATGACCTGGTAGAGCAATGTGGCAGGACGAAGGTATCAAGTCAACATAGTTCATGTTGCACTTGGATGATGGTGTTTTATATTAATCTGGGCTCCGTGTTATTGGTCCTTCTAAACCAAACTATTCAAATAGGTTTTTTTGTGCTGCTGCCATTTCTAAACAAACCTCGCAGACTGATTCCAACACTAATGATGTCTGCATAATAATCACACATACAACATACAGACCTCACAACAACACCCCCCCTCAGGTAACCGCCACGGCCTCATGGTGCCCAACAACACCACCGACCAGGAGCTGCAGCACATCAAGAACTGCCTGCCGGACGCCGTGAGGATCCAGCGGGTGGAGGAGAGGCTCTCCGCCCTCGGCAACGTGGTCGCCTGCAACGACTACGTGGCGCTGGTCCACCCCGACCTCGACCGGGTGAGACGCCGCGCGGCCGCTGCATTTCGGATGGCTTTATATATTTGAGGGGGAGGGGCTTATCTCCATGGGAACCTCTGTCTCGCTCTTCTCTAAACCAGCAGGGTTTTACTGCATCAGAACAACGACTCTGGTCGACATGAAACTGCACTTTCTTGTTCTTCTGGGTTTGTATCCTCATGGTTGAAATGTACTTTCACCCCCCCCCCCCCGCGTCCAGGAGACGGAGGAGATCCTGGCGGACACCATGAAGGTGGAGGTGTTCCGTCAGACGGTGGCCGAGCAGGTCCTGGTCGGCTCTTACTGCACATTCAGCAACCAGGGCGGCCTTGTCCACCCGAAGACGTCCATAGAGGACCAGGACGAGCTGTCATCTCTGCTGCAGGTCCCCCTGGTGGTGAGTGACGTCCATCGCTGACCCCTAAGACACCAGGACCCGTCTCCATGGGTTAAATTTAAAGTTTACAATGAATATGACTCAATAAAAAGCGACGCACGGAGCACAGAACGTGTTTGTAGTGTGAACAAACGATCCATGAAGGAAGTTAATGTGACATTAGAGGATGCGTCTCTACCACTTCCTGTCCAGGCCGGCACGGTGAACCGGGGCAGCGAGGTCATCGCGGGGGGGATGGTGGTCAACGACTGGTGCGCCTTCTGCGGCCTGGACACCACCAGCACGGAGCTGTCCGTCATCGAGAGCGTGTTCAGGCTCGGCGACTCAGCGCAGCCCTCCGCCATCGCCACCAGCATGAGGGACTCTCTGATCGACAGGTGAGGGGGGGGGGCAACGCACACGCACACACACACACACTCTACCATCTCACTGTTTACTAGGGCTGTCAAAATTGCTCAAAAATGACGTTCGCCTTTCGCTCAGCGTGCGATTTAAGGTTGTGATTCTTGTCCCAAATATGGCGGCTTGATTCAGTGAACTATTTCTAACATTAATTGAGGTTTTACAGTACTGACGTTGAACGCTCCGAGCGAGTTGTGCTGGGATAAACTTTTCCTTGGCATGAAACGGCAAATAATCAAACCAGTGCATGAAGCTGTTTTTATTCATGCAATAAACAGTCAGTGAGGCGCGCGCCCCCCACAGAGCAGACAGTCGCGCCGCGACTTTACATTCTGATAGTTTTTAACTGTTAGAATGTATATTTGAAAAGCTAATATTCGTTAGCAGCCCTGTTTACAGATGAATTGTAACTTTATCAATCAAAACACATGTATGTCTACTATTAGATGTCATTTGATTGACAGGTCTGTTACATCGTCCTTGTATGGTCGCTTCCTGTAGAGGACTTTCTTTGACGTGACCCTTCTCTTCTCCCACCAGCATGGCGTGAACCAATCGAAGGACGCGTTCCCCTCCAGGCTCCGCCCCCATCACGCCCGCGGCCATCTGTGTCCTTTTTTTATTTGTAGCGTTTGGTTTAATCACTTAAACCTGACGGGTAGAAGTACGTTTCTTCAGTTAGTGTTAAAAGGAACTTTATTTCTGCTCCTCCGTCAGTCGTCTGGATGCTTTTCGCGCTGAACAGGAGCTTGAAGCATCACCGGCTGTTTGAAGAATAACTCCAGACTGAGGAAGAGACGTCACTAACTCCACCTGTGGGTGGAGCAGCGTGTCTGTGAACATACGGCTGCATGGACTCTGTTTATAAAATAAATCACCCAGTTTTTATGTTTGTGAACTTTGGTGTTGAGCGAGAATAAAGTCAGCTTTTGTCACAGGAAGTACTTTCTTCTTCTGGTTCAGCCTTTAGGACTTCAATGTAAAGGAATACCATCCCTCCATCAGCAGGGGACCCCGAGCTTCCCTTTCCGGCCCACATCTACCAGCTCTGGCTGGGATCCCAAGGCGTTCTCAGGCCAGTGGAGACATAATCCCTCCTCCCTTAGGGAGGCGCCATGGGGGCAACCTCACCAGATGCCCAAACCACCGCAACTTTGTCTTTCGTCACCGTAAAGCAATACGGCCAAACTCTCCCTCCGCAGATCCTCAGGTACTTTACACCTTCACAGGAAATCCATCGGCTTCCTGCTGAGTGAAACATTTAATAAGACACTTTGACAGCAACTTTTCATTTATTGGCTAATGCTTTGAATAATGTTGCAGCAATGCATCTATTTATTTATATACACACACACACACCTCTGAAAAGCTTGATTATACACTCATGTCTTTGTTCTACGTGTAGATTCTTTTCTGGTTTGTGGGGTAAAACATTACAATGCATTTCTATGGCAGGAAATCAATTGACATTTATGATAAAAGACAAACGTGCAGGTTAAGTGCACTCAACCTTCTGTCTATAAAGTGACGCACGGATACAAAAGAATCAGTTTTATACACAAACTCCTAAAAAGAAAAGCTATGCCACTTGTATCAATTTATGTGCAAAAGTAGCTTGTTTATTCCAAACATTTAATACATTTCACTTCTGATGTTTGTCTGCTACGGTGAAAAGAATTCCCAAATGAAAAAGCTCTGCTGACTCGTGGCTGAAGTTCAACGCAGTGTTTTTACGAGAAGAGAAACGTCCGTCACGTTGTGTTAACGGTGCTCTTAGAGGGACTGAACTCGTTCTGTTAAATAGATTTGATGCTAATGGAACTACGGTGGCCTGCGAGCCGCTAAGTCAAACACTTGTATGGTTTGTCTGCTCTGGGCCACCGTAGCAACACGCAGGAGATTTACTTATTGACCAGCCGCTCTGCAGAAACGACCTCACTTACACATATTGCACATGTAAAAATGTCAGTTTTTCAGCTGACGTGTCCACGAATGACTCAAACTGAAGAGAATTCAAAAGAAAAATGAGTTAAAAGTTAAAAGCGACAATCCGTAGCAGTGACCTCATTCCCTTCTAGTCCCGCTCTGGACTCACGTGGTCTCAAGACTCGCTGTCCAACATGCACACGCACTGGTTTCATTCCACCCTTTCAAAATAAGAGTCTTGCGTGGGATCACGAAGACTAGAGGAAATTTCAAAAATGGAGAACAGAAAACACTCGCAGGTACGAGTCTGACTAACGAGGACGAGGAGACACGCGGGACGTCCTCTAGGTTTTTTGTTGCTAGTTTTCTACTGACCAATGAGAAGAGGGCACTGAAGTATGGCGGCGGGGTGTAATCTGACTGACAGGGTGCTGCTACCTGGGCCTGTAACATAGCGGAGAGGATCCTCTCTCGCTCTCTACTACCCCCCCACCCCTCCCTCTCTCCCTCCCTAGCAGCCGAAGGTCTCCTGCGAGGCGTACACCATGTAGAGGAAGCCGTCCTCGTCCCTCTCCTGCTCGTAGATCTGGGAGATCGCCGTGGACACGGACACCATGCTGTGCTGGTTGACCAGCAGGAAGAAGGCCTGCGTGGGGTTCAGCTGCAGCCGGCGCCTGGGGGGGGGGGGGGGGGATTATTCATATTCATTTACAACATCACGGAAGATCTCAGTGCTTCTTTCTTATTCTTAGTACCAAGTGACTCACTACACAAACAGGGAAGAGGAGCTACGAGCCGAACAGAGGAGGTGACATCAAGAGAATCAAAGAATAAAAGCCCCCCCTCGGCGGTGCCGTCTGTCTGCTCGTTTGTTTACCTGATGATCTTCACCAGCTCGCTCATGTTGACGTGGTCGGGTACCAGGAACTTGGTTTTGTCCAAAACGGGCAGCTGCTTCTCTCCCTTGTATCTCTCGATGATCACCTGCAGCAACACAGCTTCCTGTGAGTCTGTTGTCGACAGGAAGTGACATCATACCTGACGAGTTGGGTGTCAGACTAAGCTAGCGTCCTCTGTGATTTAAATGCACATGAAACCTTGATCGCGGCGGCGTGCTGGAGTCCGCTTACCGGGATCTTGTTGGGGTGCTGGTCCCGGATCTGCTGGACCTCTTTGCAGCGATCAGCTGTGCGGAACAAAAGACAAGAGTTCATCTCAAGTGGATTTGTAGAAACTCGTCAGATACGAAGCTCTGATTCCTCGCTGATGCAAAACTAGAAATGTATTCTTACGCAGATAAACAACAACAAACCGCTCCTTGTCTGAAGGAATAATGTCTCCATTTGTAGTCCTGTCATCCAGTATCATGGATGCACAGAGTAAGTAAGTTTAGTTCAATGTGATCTTTTCTCTTTGTTTTAGCCCAAATAAAAGCAAGCAGGGCCTCGTGGATGAACAACGGGTCCCACTCAGTTCATTCAGGACTTTCTGGCCCCGGCTTCCACATGAAGGGAGGGTGGGTCGAGTGGCAGAGACACAACAATCTCACAGAAACGCTGATTCTAATTGGTTGGTGGTTTGAGTCCCGGCTAACCCCTAATTGCTCCCCGGGCAAAAAAGTAAAAAGCCATGGGTTCAAAATGTAATGCTAAATGACCTGTAATGTAATAACTACACCCTGCGTCTCATAATTAATTAATCAATTATCTCCACCGTTGTTGTTTGTCTGTGAGCTTTGTTTAGAGAAATACTAATCTGTACTACTAATATTTAATAATACCTAAAACTAAACTCAACACTCATCTAAACGTGACTGAATAACCAGCTTGTGCAATGTCCGGACGGGGGGGGGGTCAGGTTACAACATGAGTCACGGAGCACGTGCGTACCGGGTAACATGTCAGCACATGTTGTTTTCCTTCTTAAGCAAACACTTGAATGTTTACTGCTAGCAGAGTGCAGCTAGCTAGCTCGGCTAGCGGGTGAAGGAGCTGGTTAAGGCCGGCCTAGAGGCTTCGAGGCCGGCCAGGCTAACGTGACAGTGACGCCGGTGGCTTCCAGACGTTAACATCAAACGGAGCAGCTGCAGGACAACGTTTAACCGGGTAATTTAGCACAGAGAACTGTCGTTAACGACCCGAGCCACGGCGGCCTCGTCACGGCCACAGTGAACACGACACACGTAAACACCGTGTGACGGACTGCACGGAGGGAGCTAGCAGGCCGGCTAACTAGCTTAGCTTCTCCACTCGCCCCCTGGTGCTTTTCTTACCGAATGTCCTCCTTTGTTTGAAGGGTCTGTCGGACGGCATCTCTGTCGCGGTTATTACACGGTTATAAACGCGGTTATTATTATAACCGCTCACAACGCCACCCAGTGACGGAGGAGCTGGCGGGCGTTCGGCGGACTGTCTCCGGTCGTCTCTCCGGGTTCACTCTGAAGATCTGCTCCGGACAAACAAAGCAAGCACACAGAGGCGATGACGTCATCGGCGGGATTTAAAGGGGCCGTTTACCGATTGATCCTTTACGAAAACAAGGTAAAGCAACAATAACAAGTCATTGTAAACAAAACCGGAATATGGATTAATAAAAAGCATGAATTATGTTCGTCAAGAAGTTTTATGTAAATAAATACTATTTTTTAAATCTGCATAAATATCTAGTGAGATTGGGTTTTAAAATACGTATTTGATAACCATTTACAAACAATATGAATACCGTTGTTGTGGTTGTTTTATTTATTGTTGTGTATTTATTTTTTCAGTGTTCCAAATACATAATAAAAAATATCTACACAATTTAGAGTTGTGTAGATCAGACCAAAGAGTAACTCAATTTATGTGTTGGTAAAATAAATGCATTAAACATTCTAGTTTGTTTGTTTATGAGGGATATATATATATATATATATATATATATATATATATATATATATATATTAGTATAACATAATAGTATAATACGTTTGATCTTATTGGTCATTTTGTACTGACAGGAAATTTCTGCCCACAGCTGTTTAAACACATCTTTGTTGTTGTAAAATAATGCGGATGTTGCATTTTCGCTTTTACAGTGGAAATAAACTATTTTTCTTATCTTTGTACTAATATATATCTGTATATTCATGCAGAGCAGATACATCATATAAATAGGAAAGGCTTCTTCATCTGGTGTAATAATGTTTTATGTGTCGTCGTCGTCATCAGAAGATTCATTATTCACACCGTATCGCTGTAGTCCGCTGCTTTGTGTCTTTGTAGTTCTGCATCTCTCTGTAAACGGTTATGAATCTTTGGGGGTTTTAGACATTTTGAGTCATGATTGATGTTTTGAGTTTCTTTTTTGGACACTTAGTGTCTAATTTGATCCGTTTTTGAGTCTCGTTGACGTTGGTTTGTCTCTTCTTGCGGTTTTGAGTCTCAGTGACTTCAGAGGAGAAATGTGAGTTTTCCTGCTCACGCAACAACTACATGTACCAGAATGCATTGTGTGCACGCGTCAGCCCGTAATCCACTGAATAAAACACATCTGACGGATTGGTCGTCCACATAAAAGGCAGCCAAACATCAGCGTGATGTAAATAACGTACACGACCACTCGGAACATTTAGTGTTTATTATGTCTTAATAATAACCATCTGAAACTTGACACGGCCGAGCAGAGAAGTGTTTGTGGTGTAAATACTGAACTTCCACTTCTCCAGCCAACTAAACCATAAATAAGTTTTCCTTCAATTAGAACTGAAGATCCTCCTTTGACGCCTCGATGATCTGCGCCTTGTTCTCTCAGTGCTGAGATGTTTAGGATTATTTACGTGCTCTAATATCTCTGCCATGAACAGAGGGACGTGGCGGAGGAGGCCCGACTGGAATGCTAAAACATGGAGATCCGATCCGCCTCCTGCCGTTACTTCCTGGTGGAGTGGGACAAGGTTCTGGTCAACGGGCCACTTTGATTTAGAATGTTTGACAGTTTTTTTAAATATGAAAGACAGACAGAGCGAGAGACGAGTCGGAAGCTCCTCCTCCTCTCAGTCCGACGGGTTCTGGATGACGATCAGGAAATAGTCCTTATCTGTGAGGACCAAAGACACCAGGGTTAGACTCAGACACCTTTCAGTGTCTCACCTTGTTTTTGTTGCATTTTATCCCAGATTTTTGGGCTTTAGCTCTTGGGGCCGATGGCTCGGTCCCACAGAGACTGGTGTCCCGCAGAGACAGGTGTGTCTCACCTGGAGCGATCATGATCTCGTTCTTCTTGGAGCGAATGCGGAGGAAGGTGAGGTCGTTCTGGGGGTCGATGTCCCGCACGGTGCTTCTGGCCTTCATCACCAGCTGGTGGATCAGGCCGGCGTACTGCACCGTGCTGGCGTTGTCCAGAGTCGTCTTGATGGGGATTCCTGATGGAGAACACGTTCATTCAGGAATGCAGCCTCAGATCAACACAAGATTCATTGATCGTAGTCATGATGGGAAAAAAGGCAAAAAGAGACGAGCCAAGAAATGAACGGTAGAAGAAAGATAAATCTTTTGTGATTATTAATGCTGCTTGGTGCTGGTAGTAATTATACATTAGGTGGTGTTGTGGTGGTTGACATGTGAACATACACTAAAAGAATAAATGACGTCACTCCCTCATCCTCTCACCTTCTGAATTGATGATGATGATTCCCTGAACTCCGTTCTGACTCTGGATCCGCTTCAGAGTTTCCTCTACTTCGGCCTGGGAGGACGATGTAATAATTTAACACGGCAACAGACGCGAGTGAAACCCCTCAGTGAGCTCGGCACTAATAGCTGCCGAATCAACACAGGAAGCTACACAGCTAGCTACACAGAGCTGCACCGACAACGCCCGCCTAGCATGAATAAGCTAGCCGCAGGCAGCATTTGATTAAAATCCCACATAGTATTCAGTCACAGCTAAAATATAAACTTCGTTATGTAATAAATGTTTAGGCAGCCATCCCATCTTACCATTTTGATGTCAGAGTCAGCGATCAGTCTAACAGCTAACGGCACAGTTTGGTTGCTCGGAGAAGACAACTGACGTAAACTTCCGGGTCAGGTCACGCAACGCTGCGTTCGTGGTCCACCGTAAAAGTGGGACACGTGGGTGTTATGCGGCAAGATAAACAAACACGCGAGGCTCTCTTATTATTTTGTGAGTGAAAATCTTGATTTGTAAAATAACTGCGAACGAAGTACAGTAGAAGGTTTGATTAAATTGCTAAAATCATCTTTGAATAAATGTACTTTGTGACATTCCAGAAGTGGAATACCATCTAAACATCTGGCGATAATCTATTGACTATTTCAGAATGAACATTTACTGCATGTGACGATTTTCAATCTTCTCTTCAGCCCAAAAAACATTCCAGATATTATAAAATGCTTTGTGTTGTTTTTAAAAACCGAATCAACAACCATTTTTATGTTATTTGTTTGTTTATTTTACTCTAGAATGAAAATCCCAAATGCTTTTTTAAAATTGGTCTTTTTCTTGAAGGGTAAGAATGTGAACACTGTGGGCGCGGCCGGTTTCTCTCATCAAGTCGGACATACTTCACCGGAAGTCTAGAGATGTCCCCTTCAGAGTAAAAGAGATAAACACGTCTGGAGTTTACAAATACAAATGATGTGAGAAAACATTTACAAAAACATTACATTACACTTTAAACCCATGGCTTTTTCACATTTTTTCCTGGGGAGTAATTAGGGGTTAGGTGTCTTGCTCAGGGACACTTCGACTGGAGACATGGGGCAGCTGGGACTCGAACCAACAACCTTGCGGTTCCCAACACACCCGCTCTATCCCCTGCGTCATCAGGACAGCAGAAAGCCTCTACAACTAAAAACACACCTCTACCCACTATACCTGGACTAGGTAGCACTTCTAGCCACTCCACCTGGACTAGGTAGCACCTTTACCCACTCTACCTGTACTAGGTAGCACTTCTAACCACTCTACCTGGACTAGGTAGCACCTTTACCCACTCTACCTGGACTAGGTAGAACTTCTAACCACTCTACCTGGACTAGGTAGCACCTTTACCCACTCTACCTGGACTAGGTAGCACTTCTACCCACTAAACCCGCTCTTTCGCTTGTGAACCTTCACTTCAGGCTTTTATTTATTGAACCCCAACCGGAAGCTGTAGCTGCCTCTTGATGACGCGGTGGTCCACGTGACTGAGCTTCATTCCCTAAAAGCAGCGGAGACATGAACCAGGACGAGGACCTCGGTGAGAACAACGCCTTTTCCACTTTGACTATTTACTTACTTTACTAATTAAGTATTTTCCTCTTTTACTATTTGCTTACTTTAGTAGTTTTTGACTATTTTACTCTTTTACTGTTTCTCCCTCCGAAGTTTGAGGACCCCCCCCCCTGCAGAACACCGTGTGCGGGGGGTTCTGAACTTGTTGTAATAATTATGAGGCTTCAGCTCAGAAAACCTTAAGTAGTGCTATGCGTCCTTTCTTTAAAATATGATAATCATTATTATCTTAAACATTTTTTTCTCAATTATTGTTATTATTATCATATTAACCCCTCCTCCATATTAAGATCCGTTTTTACTATTGACTTATTTTAATAATGTTCCTTGTTTCGTGTGTTATTTATTATATTTATGAATTTAAATGTTCTTTTTAGTACAGTTTAATGAATTTATTTTCCGAATTACAATTTCTATGGTAAATATGTATATATATGTATCTATTATTTTTGACTGAATGAGATTTTTTAACATAAATCAGTGAAAACCTCGATAAAGATCAGTGTAAATGCTGTATATACGTGTGAATTTCTACCTGTAGTTCACTGTGGATGTTGACTTGGTTTCACTCTGGAGTTCTGCACGACTATTTTGGATGCATTGTCCGGTCTTGGCGCTGTCGGCTTTGGTCTCCCCCCTTTTTAACCCCCCCCTCTTCTTTTTTATTTGTCTCTCTATTAACAAGCCTCCCCCCCCCCACCTCCTTGCCTCCCTCCCTGTTCCCACAGTCTGTCCATCTCAGCCCAGATCTCTTGAGGGAAACACCTCCTCGCTGGTATTTTTATCCCCCAGCCGGAGGTATTGTTGTACACTAAAACACTGAAAGTGTGTACTTCAACACGCTAACGAGGAGCATGACGCACGGAAGGGTGTCAATCAGGGTTCTATTGTGTGTATTCATGTAGTAATCGTTGACTGTTTAGAAAGACATTGTACTCTTTAATTTATCTGATGCAGGTTGAGAATTGAAAGGTTGGTTTCAAATGACAGCAGTGAAATATAGACAGTAATTAAATGATGCATGGATTCCTCTAGTGTTTTATTCATCTGTGTCATTCATCTGTGTACTAGTAGTGGTTGGTACTTGTAATAAATCCAAGTAACTATGTGGGTCTCTGCTGGTGTCAGATGTTTCACCTCATGATGAGGCTCTGGGAAGCTCACATCCAGATGTTTCACCTCATGATGAGGCTCCGTAAAGCTCACATCCAGATGTTTCACCTCATGATGAGGCTCCGTAAAGCTCACATCCAGATGTTACACCTCACGATGAGGCTCCGTAAAGCTCACATCCAGATGTTACATCTCATGATGAGGCTCTGTGAAGCTCACATCCAGATGTTACACCTCATGATGAGGCTCTGTAAAGCTCACATCCAGATGTTACACCTCACGATGAGGCTCTGTGAAGCTCACATCCAGATGTTACATCTCATGATGAGGCTGTATGAAGCTCACATCCAGATGTTACACCTCCTGATGAGGCTCTGTTAAGGTCACATCCATATGTTACACCTCATGATGAGGCTCTGTGAAGCTCACATCCAGATGTTAAACCTCATTATGAGGCTCTGAAGCTCACATCCAGATGTTAAACCTCATTATGAAGCTCTGTGAAGTGCACGTCCAGATGTTACACCTCATGATGGGGCTTTATGAAGCTCACATCCAGATGTTACACCTCATGATGAGGCTCTGTTAAGGTCACATCCAGATGTTACACCTCACGATGAGGCTGTATGAAGCTCACATTCAGATCTTACACCTCACGATGAGGCTCTGGAGTTCAGCAACGGGAGTCTGTGAAAGAACCTTACTGATGCATCTTCTGACGTAAGGACTTTGGAGTGACACCTCCTCCATTCCTCTGCAGAACTCTGCAGAAGTTCTCCGTTGTTATGACATGAGTTTTTATGACCTGAGAACGTCGGGCATGTTGAAGGAAACAAGACAAACCGATCCGAAGTTATAGGTCAGTCTGAGGAGCTCGAGAGGCTTTGTCCTTTATCGTCTTAGCCGGTTCTCTCCGTCACATTTGGCCTTAATTTGTAAATTCTCATCAGCCAAATGAAATATGAAACATAAACATGTGGATGGAAACACATCCAGTAAAGTAAAGACTACTTGTCCTTCACTTCATCTTTTCAGGGGCCTTTGACCCCAACATACCAGAGGAGGGACCTTCTGCGCCACCCGCTGGCTGGCTGGACGACGTACATGGGTACCATGGCAACAACGGAGGCGGTGAGTCCGATCTTCTATGTAAACCAGGGGAGGGTGGGGGGGGGGCAGTTCGGCCCCCCGGATGACTCTGCTATTTATGATCAGGCTGGCCACAGATCAAATGTGAACAGTCTTACTTTAGTCCTGATCCTCTATGTAAACCAGAACCACCACTATGAAAGTTCATCTTAGGAGCTTCATCAGCCTTCATCTCTCGTGTCTGTGTTACTGTGCCCCCCCAGAAGGAGATAATCCGTTGTGTCCCCCCCCCCCTGCCTATGTCCCCCAGCCCGAACTCAACAAGAACACCTTGGTGCCTGACGTCAGGTAACAAAATCCTCCGACTCGTCCCCGAGATCTGTGTGTGTGTTGTCTCTGACACAAAGATACACAAACGTATCTGTGTGTGTCTTCCAGGGTCCCCACAGTCTCGGAGGACGTGGCTCGGGACGCCCTGCTCAGATTTGTGGAGTCGAAATGGAGATTCAGCTCCAAACCTGCCAGGAACCTGGTCTTCAAAGAGCTGAAGCCCATCACGGTGTATCGGGTAAGAGAACACCTCAACCACCTGAGGTGGAACATCTAACACATTGTGGAACATAACGGTGTACAGTGGTGATTAAATGGACCCAGAGTCCATCACATCCAGCCCGTGTCTCTGATTGTCCCCACGCAGTATCGACTGGAGACCTACACTGAGACCAGGACCAGCGCCTGGCAGTTTGAACCCTATAATGGTAAAAAGGGGTGTCTGAAGGTTAGACTGGAGGTCTGTCAGTTGGTCTGATTGGAGGTCAGTGGGGATGTCTGATTGGAGGTTAGTGTGGGGGTTTGATTGGAGGTCTGATTGGAGGTCAGTGTGGAGGTCTGATTGGAGGTCAGTGTGGGGGTTTGATTGGAGGTCTGATTGGAGGTCAGTTTGGGGGTTTGATTGGAGGTCTGATTGGAGGTCAGTGTGGGGGTTTGATTGGAGGTCTGATTGGAGGTCAGTGTGGGGGTTTGATTGGAGGTCTGATTGGAGGTCAGTGTGGGGGTTTGATTGGAGGTCTGATTGGAGGTCAGTGTGGGGGTTTGATTGGAGGTCTGATTGGAGGTCGGTGTGGAGGTCTGATTGGAGGTCAGCGTGGAGGTCTGATCGGAGGTCAGTGTGGAGGTCTGATTGGAGGTCAGTGTGGGGGTTTGATTGGAGGTCTGATTGGAGGTCAGTGTGGGGGTTTGATTGGAGGTCTGATTGGAGGTCAGTGTGGGGGTTTGATTGGAGGTCTGATTGGAGGTCAGTGTGGGGGTTTGATTGGAGGTCTGATTGGAGGTCAGTGTGGGGGTTTGATTGGAGGTCTGATTGGAGGTCGGTGTGGAGGTCTGATTGGAGGTCAGCGTGGAGGTCTGATCGGAGGTCAGTGTGGAGGTCTGATTGGAGGTCAGTGTGGGGGTTTGATTGGAGGTCTGATTGGAGGTCTGTGTGGGGGTTTGATTGGAGGTCTGATTGGAGGTCAATGTGGAGGTCTGACTGGTGTTGTAGAGCTGTATATATTAGTACATACATGAACCTCCTGTTGGAGCTCTGCAGGCGTTTTGCTGCAGGCGTTCTTCTCCTTTGAGCGTGAACATTCCATGAGAACAATCCAACTCACCTCGAGTCCCAGGACCTTTATGCAGATCACAGGTCATTCCACCTCTCACTCCACCTAATCAGTTCCTTCTGCTCACCTGCCTACGCTTCTCACTCCCTTCAGTATTTAGTCACTCACTCACTGCCAGATCGTTCTCCACATTCATGCCAGACCTTCCAGCACTTTCTTGTGGACCGATTCTCTGTGCCGACCCTGCCTGTCTTGGACTACCCCGTCTCGCCCCCGCCCGGTAATCCACCCGGTCTTCTGTCCGCGACCACGTCGTGTCCCAGTGACTCTGTAAACTGTTTGTTTGCATTGAGGAATGTGGAACTGGGTCCTCACTCGTTACAAGATCTCTTCCGGGTGGTTGTTCATTCTCTGTCCTCCAACAGGACAGCTGGTGGATGGTCCTCAGTTTGGGGTGAGTCCTCCTCCGTGGGACGTCCCGGTGTCCCTGCCGCCGAGGTACGCCGACCGGGTGGAGAAGGTCCCCGTGCCCCACTCGTCTTTCGTGAAGGTGCGGACTTCCCTCACTGCCGCTGTCCTTTTTCATGTCCTTGGTCTCAAAGTGACGAGTTTGCGTTTTTGTTAGCTGTGTCACAAGTGCCACGGCTGTGGAAGGACTCGCTGTGGACACTGCCACGGGAGAGGCCAGGTGAGATGTCCTCAGCACCAGTGGACGGAGGAGGTGGAGACGTCTCCGCATACGTCTATGGATTTCTATAAAATGGTCAAATACACGGACGTCATTCCTCTATTGATGAATTCCTGGTTTTGTGTAAAACACGGATGAAGATAAGCGACTGAAGCTTCGACTGTAAACTTCTTTTTCAATATTTATTATTCATTTTTATTGAACATTTCAGCATTACATTTATTACAGATTTTACAAAAGAAACACATTCACGTAAATACAATTAGAAACGTATAATATAAGAATCTTATCTTATGAGCTATGCTATATATAGTGATTTACTACATCCAGAAGAAGGTTCCATATTAGTATATGTATGTATGTCTGTTTCATGGGCTCCTCTGGTGTTACAGAAGCGCTGCACGTTTTGTCATGGCAACGGGCGCTCCAGGAACAAGCAATGCACTTCCTGTCGCGGCCGAGGGCGCAAGAGGTGGGCCTCTTATTTCATACGTTATCTGGGCCTCGACAGCTCTGCTCGTCTCAACGTATTTGCACAAATGCTTTCACGTTTCACCCCCCCCCCCCCCCCCCTGCAGGTGCACCTTCTGTCACGGCCACGGACACAACACCTGCTCCGTGTGCCACGGCAGCAAGAACCTGCTGCACTCCATCCTGCTCACCGTCACCTGGTAGGTCAGAGGTCAGAGGTCCTTTGTCTCAAAGTCATTAGTACAAGTGTGTGTGTGTGTGTGTGTGTGTGTGTGTGTGTGTGTGTGTGTGTGTGTGCGCGCGCCTGCAGGAAGAACGACATCAGCGACTACATCCCGGACCGCCAGCCAGACTTCCCCGACAAGAAGTTTGAGAAGGTGACCGGAGACCCTTTCTTTGTGGACGAGAGCGTTCTGGTAGGAAAACAAGAGCCTTCTTTTGCTTTAGTAATGAGGTGATGGGGGGGGGGGGGTCAGCTGACCCTCGCTGATGGACCGTGTCCTCCCAGGTTTACCCGATCCAAGGTTTCCCCGATCAGGAGATCTGCGATGTCTCCAGGAAGATGATTAACGAACACCTCCATCGCTTCAGCTCCACCAGCCGCATCCTGCAGCAGGTACGAGCTCGCCGTCCGATGGAAGGAGGTCTTTCTTCACTCCAAAGTGAAGCAAAAAAGGTCATAAACTAGAATTTAACAAAAGAAAACTACAGTACTAATAGACCCAAACAACTACAAAACAGACACGAAGGGACGTTAACGCTCTAACTCAGATGAGATGTATTCCTAAGAGGATGCTAACGCCGATGCTAACGCCGATGCTAACGCCGATGCCAACGCCGATGCTAACGCCGATGCTGACCCGCTGTCTGCTCCGCAGCGTCAGACCATCGAGCTGGTGCCGCTGACCCACGCGCTCTACACCTACAACGGGAAGGAGTCCAGCTTCTTCGTCTTCGGGGTGGAGAACAAGGTGTTCGCCTCCAAGTATCCCTCCGCCTGCTCTGTTTTATAGGAACTACGCGCCGTTTCATCAGAAAGAAACATTTACACACAAACCAAGATTTATTATGAAATCAATGTTTCTACTTCAGTCAGCTCAGGTTTCAGATAAGAATCCATCCGTTTTTGTATTTTTCTGTTTTTATATGTGAGATAATGTTCTCTTCTTATTGTTTACTGCCACATTAGGGAACCAGAGGAATGTGTTTGATACGCAAAACTCACCTTCTGAATTCTGAATAAAGATTGTTTCTGTGTGAAAACATTTAACACAACGTCCGTCTCTTTATTTATTATTTATTCATTGTTTGTTGTCCTCAAATTCCTATTATGAATCTACTTACGAAACCAAACCTCTTCATGCTGCGATGACATCATCTTATCGTTAGATCATCGGATCCACGAGAAGCTCAATTTATGGAGGTTAAGAAATGTTAAATAACACCTTGATACCGTACGGAGAAGCTGAGTTTCTCTTTTAACACATTTGAATTCCTTCCAGCTGATTTATTGGAAGCGGTCACCTCCGCCCACGAGGGGGCGCTCTGGTTCCTTGGACCAGGACGGCTGAAGGTTTGGGGACAACACGTGATGTGGGAAATATGACAACTCCTCCAAAGTGTTTTTGTTGAACTTGTGTCTAACACGCAGGAAGAATGTGTCATCATTTATTTACAACATGATGTTATTGACACAGAAAGAACAAACAGTGTAAATAAACTTTCACCCAAAATAATCCTGAAAAGCTAAAAAACAGCAAACACTAAAAAACAACACATGAAACATTCTCGTACACAAAAAAACTACAGCGCTCAAATAAAAACGTAGCCGCAGATTTCACCGTAATTTGTCCCAGATTGACTTTCATATGCAAACATTTGATAATATCATATACAACGTCGACAAATCATGAGAACAAAGCCATGGAAAGGAGTTTTTAATTTTATTCGATTCATTTTATACCCCACATCGCAAATGACAGATCTTGGCCGGAGGGCTTTTCAGTCCTCGTAGGCGACGCGGTGTAACAAGCTCTCGTAGGTGAGGAGGTCATTTTGTGTATTGACGTCGTCCTTTCAATTCTCGTTATGGTGGTTTTGCTTCAATTTGATTTCAATCGTTTTGTGTCTCTATTTGTTCATTTTTTATTTCTTTGAGGTAGTTTTGATTTTGTTTATTTTTGAGCAATTTTGAATTATTAGAAATTAGAAAGTTCCATATGTGCTACAATAGATTCAACTTTAACTGAAGGTATTTTTATATTGGGGTGCAGCAAAGAGATCTGAATTCGACATATTTTACATTCAACAGCCTTTTTTAATAGGAAATGTATTTTTTTATCTTTCATTGATAGACAGTAATGTAGAAGATATCATTTATATTGAGTTCTTATTTTAAAGTACGTTGGGGAGAGTTTGGTCTGTTCGAATGTTTGTATATATTTATATCATTTGAATAAACTCTAGCGACACATCTGTGCTGATGTATGAACTCGTTACAAACGTCACGTATCACTCCTCTGTCTTTGAGGGCGGATCTGAAAACTGTCCCAACTGTGAGTCGTCCGAGTGGTACCTGAAGGCAGCATCAGTCCGCTGCGTGAACGAGCGGCTCGTCCCCGCGTGTCTTCACTGCGTTCATCCCGCGAGGAGCCCGCAGGTGAGCCGACACGGACCGAACCGGACCGGGAGGGATTAACACACCGAGGGACAAAGGACAGAGTCCGGTTCAACAACAACAACAACAACAACAACAACGACGACGACGAGCTTCATCGTGAAATAGCGGCTGTGAGTCTCTTGTTGGAGCAGAAGATAAATGTTCTTGTTGCTGGGTGGTTCGCTGGGTTTTGATGTTGGTCTGAAGATATTATAATAGTTAATATTATCAGATGTTTATCAAATTAACTTTAATTACCCTGAAAGAGAGAAAATCAATCGGAGAAACTTCCGATGATTTATTCATTGATTTCATCACTTTTTTTGCTTTAAAAGCTTCCGGACAAAAAGTAGATTTTGAATTGAAATTCAATTCGAATTTTAAATTTAAAAACTTTGACTTTAAAAGACTTTGAGACTCATCCCGGTGCGCGCGCGTGTGTGTGTGTGTCTTTGTAAGTGCGTGTTTGAGGAGTTCTGAAGGTCCTTGAGGTTGTTGGAGGTTTTCCAGGATGTTCTGGTGGTCATTGAAATGGATCGAGGACTCCGTAAAAACGCTGCTGTGGTCCTGGAGGCTTCTGCTCTGATATTATGGGTTATTAAGGACTTTCAAGGGTTTAAAGGTATTTTATGGCCACTCAGCGGCGCGTTTGATCCATCGCCGGATGCTTCAAGGACTTTCCAGGTGGTCGCTGAGGACGTTCTGTTCCAGGATGTCTTTCAATGCCTTCAAATACGTTTACGTTCTCTGAGTCAACGTCCCCCCGATTGTCACGGCCTTCCTGTTACGCCCCCTGTTGTTTCCTCTGTGTGTGTGTGTGTGTGTCTTTCTGGCTGCATTGTGTCTTTGTGTTTCTGCTGCTGACACTGATTCCCACAGTGTGCTGTGTGTGTGTGTGTGTGTGTGTGTGCGTGTGTGCGCGTGTGTGTGTGTGTGTGTGTGTGTACCCTGATAACCTGTAGTTCTTCGATAACAGGATTCTAACCCTGGTGAAGCTTTGACCTTTGACCTCCCCCTTCATAAACATCTCATTGCGTCTTTGCTGAGTGATGAAGACTCCGATGATTCACTGCGTCACCTCTGAACCGATCAATGAGCTTATTGATGATGACGAGAAAACTGCTCCTGAAAATGAAATTCAACAGGAATCAATATCACATCTAAAGGAAGATATGAACAATACTCACAATATATATAAATATATATATACACTTGTTGTTTCTTTGTTTCCTTGTTGTTTCCTTGTAGTTTTCCTCTTGTTTACTCGTTGTTTCCTTATTGTTTCCTCCTGTAATAATAACTTATTTTATACGTCTAAATCTCTTTTTGTATCGGCCAAAGTTGGCTGGGACAGACTCCACCCCCCCCGACCCCGTGTGCAGGATAAGCAGTTTGAGGATGGGTGGATGGATGTCTGGATGGATGGATGTCTGGATGGATGGATGGGTTTGTGGGTGGGTGGATGGATGGATGGATGGATGTCTGGGTGGATGGATGGGTTTGTGGGTGGGTGGATGGATGGATGGATGGATGATAGATGGATGGGTTGTGGGTGGGTGGATGGATGGATGGATGATAGATGGATGGGTTTGTGGGTGGGTGGATGGGTGGATAGATGGGTGGATGGGCGGGTGGATGGATGGATGGGTTTGTGGGTGGGTGGGTGGATGGATGGATGGATGGATGATAGATGGATGGGTTTGTGGGTGGGTGGATGGATGGATGGGTGGGTGGCTGGAGGGATGGATGGGTGGGAGGGTGGGTGGATGGGTGGATAGATGGGTGGATGGGTGGGTGGATGGATGGATGGGTTTGTGGGTGGGTGGATAGATGGGTGGATGGGCGGGTGGATGGATGGATGATAGATGGATGGGTTGTGGGTGGGTGGATGGATGGGTGGGTGGCTGGAGGGATGGATGGGTTTGTGGGTGGGTGGATGGATGGTGGATGGATGTCTGGATGGATGGATGGGTTTGTGGGTGGGTGGATGGATGGGTGGATGGATGTCTGGATGGATGGATGGGTTTGTGGGTGGGTGGATGGATGGATGGATGGATGTCTGGATGGATGGATGGGTTTGTGGGTGGGTGGATGGATGGATGGATGGATGATAGATGGATGGGTTTGTGGGTGGGTGGATGGATGGATGGATGATAGATGGATGGGTTTGTGGGTGGGTGGATGGGTGGATAGATGGGTGGATGGGCGGGTGGATGGATGGATGGGTTTGTGGGTGGGTGGGTGGATGGATGGATGGATGGATGATAGATGGATGGGTTTGTGGGTGGGTGGATGGATGGATGGGTGGGTGGCTGGAGGGATGGATGGGTGGGAGGGTGGGTGGATGGGTGGATAGATGGGTGGATGGGTGGGTGGATGGATGGATGGGTTTGTGGGTGGGTGGATAGATGGGTGGATGGGCGGGTGGATGGATGGATGATAGATGGATGGTTTGTGGGTGGGTGGATGGATGGGTGGGTGGCTGGAGGGATGGATGGGTGGGAGGGTGGGTGGATGGGTGGGTGAATGGATGGGTGATAGATGGATGGGTTTGTGGGTGGGTGGATGGATGGGTGGATGGATGTCTGGATGGATGGATGGGTTTGTGGGTGGGTGGATGGATGGGTGGATGGATGTCTGGATGGATGGATGGGTTTGTGGGTGGGTGGATGGATGGGTGGATGGATGATAGATGGATGGGTTTGTGGGTGGGTGGATGGATGGGTGGATGGATGTCTGGATGGATGGATGGGTTTGTGGGTGGGTGGATGGATGGGTGGATGGATGTCTGGATGGATGGATGGGTTTGTGGGTGGGTGGATGGATGGGTGGATGGATGATAGATGGATGGGTTTGTGGGTGGGTGGATAGATGGGTGGATGGATGGATGGATGGATGGATGATAGATGGATGGGTTTGTGGGTGGGTGGATGGGTGGATAGATGGGTGGATGGGTGGGTGGATGGATGGATGATAGATGGATGGGTTTGTGGGTGGGTGGATGGATGGGTGGAACGACGGTGGGTTTATTCAGCAAATAAACCCAGTTTCTTATCGATGACTATTGCAGTGTTTGTTTTATTCACCTTTAAGAGACGGCGTGGCAGGCAGAGAGCCTGAAAGTCTATTCTTTTTCATCCTGTAACATCTGTGAAACATCAGGCAGATAACGGCTGACGTATTTATGTCATTATAACCTCTTATACACGGTGCAGCGTTCAGATGACTCAGCTCCATCTTTTCTCACACAATTGTTCCCTTACAAATTCTATTTAAATCATTTGCTCATAGTGATAATTAATAGTTCTTTCCTCATCTGGTTTCATCACAACCAAAACCACACACTCGACTACGGCCCATGTGTGTGTGTCTGTGTGTGTGTGTGTGTGTGTCTGTTTAGCATTACATATCTATTGTGTGTACTATTTTGACTAATTAATAACTTCTTATCGGACCGGGGCAACAATGAAGCACTTCTGCCAAGCGGAACGCTTCCTCCCCCGAAGCCTCCAGAGGCAACCGACACACACACACGCACACGCACGCACACACCCATGCACACACACACACACACACACACACGCACACGCACGCACACACACGCACGCACGCACACACACACACACGCACGCTGGTGTTTTATTTGTTTCCTCAAGGGAGACATTTATTTGAATAACTGCAGCACAATGTCGTTGACACAAAGGACTTTATTCTGGAGACCATTGTTGCTTCTACTGTAGCAGAACCGTGTCTGTGTTTGTGTGTCTGTGTGTTTGTGTGTCTGTGTGTTTGTATCTGTGTGTGTTTGTGTCCCCAGCGGTCAAAGCTAACGTGGCTAACAGAGCGGTTAGCTGTTAGCGGTGCTGCTTACGGTATCACATTCCATTACATCACATGTCGTTTAGCTGACGACTTCCAATAAGAACATTTAACCATAAGGACACAAACTCAAGAACAAGAAAGTGCAGTTTACAACTTGCTGTAGATAAGAACCATTATGAGTCCAATGTAAGTGCTGCAGGTAGTTAGTGTGTTAGTGGAGGTAGAGTGTGAAGAGGTGTGTCTTTAGTCTGAAGATGTGAAGGCTCTCTGTGGTCCTGATGTGGAGATCTAGTCGCCTTCCTCCTGTTGATCTAAACACACATCATGTCACATGATCAGACATCAGAGACTAGAGAAACATCAATGACGTCATCATCACTGACTCGACTGAATGCTGGAGGAGAATCGTGGTGCACTCTGAGGTGTTGACGGGATCGTTCTTCTATCCGGGCCGGTCGGCTGAATTGTTCCTCTGGTCTTACGTGTGTGTGAAGCACAGGTGGCTGATGGAGGCATCAGCTCCTTCTCTTCCTCTTCCCACAACCCCCCCGAGACGGGGAGCGGACATTTCCTGCAGATAGAGGGAGAGGCGAGGAAGACGGTTTCCTCTTCCCAGAATGCCCTGGTCCCGTGCAGCTCCGTTCCCACAATGCCGTTTGTTTGTCTTTCCTCCAGACGCGTGAAGCCCGAAGGAGGCCCTGATCCTCCAGCTTCTTCTGTGATGGTTTCAATCTCTTCTCTGGAGGTGTGACATGCAGCGTGTTGTTTATGGACCAGAAGAGAAGAACTGTCCTCATACGTCCGTGACGTCCGTGACCGATCCAGATCCATCACCCCGTAATCCATGTAGTCATCAAACTCACGACCCACGAGGGTCAGAGGTCACTCAAAGAAAAGGTCTCTCAGCCAAGAGACGACTACACAAAATAGTTTAACCAAAAACAACCATCTTTATTAAACACAAAACAACTACAAAGAGACACAAAATGCTACAAAAGAGATCGAACCAACATGAAGTCCACAAAGCTGTGAATCCAAAATCCTTCCAGAATAAAAGCAGTCAGATGGTCTCAAAACATTCATATGATCTAAACCTGATGAGAACGTGTTTGGAAGCACTAGTCAGGCAGTTGCAGGGCTTCATATGTCTCTCTCTATATATATATATATATATATATATATATATATATGAGACATATAAGCATACCTATGTTTCTATGGGACGGTTTGACAGAAACCTGCAGTACAAAACTCTTCGTTCAAACTAAACTTTAACAGAAAAAGCTTGAAATGTCCTCTTATCTTCCATATTTAGAAAGTCCACTTTTGGACTTTTTATTCTTTCCGTATTCAAACAAGCGTTTCCTCCACTAACAGGAAGCTCCACACAAAGCGTCTTTGAATTGAAATGTTTCTCTCGTATCTCTTCATCTGATCATCGTTTGTCTGCATCAGCAACAATGGAATCTGACCATGTGTGATTATGAAGGATGTCTGATAGACCCCCCCCCCCCCCCCCCCCCCCTCCCGGGCTTGGTGCAACAGGGAGAGGAAGTAAAGATGGCTACCAGCTGATAAACCCCCCTTGTAGAGTGTAAAGATTCATCTCTAAACGTCGTTATATGTCGATCTCTGTATGTATTTCACCACGATGTGTTTGTGTACCGGTGGGAAGTTGAGCGAGCGTTTGGAGGTGCAGCTGAGAGGCAGCAGAGGCCTGGATTCATGCTGGTGATCTCATCCTTTTGCTCCTCAGGATTTCTTCTTCTTATATTTTCTTGAAGGGAAACACATGATGCAGCAGCTCTTCTGTCCACTGTCTCTTTCTTTCTGTTTGAACCTTTTCATTTTCACCTACTGTCCAACACACAGAACAAGCTGATCTCGGATGCTGATGCTGTGTCTCCTCCCGCTGCTGTGGCTGCAGCCGACGGACGGCGAGGCCCCGAGGCGCGGCGGGCCGCGGCTGCAGCTCTCCCACTCAGGTAGGAAAACGCTCCGAGAGAGGGAGGGGCTCTGATAGGAGGAGGAGCTGTAAGAGAGGGAGGGGCTATGATAGGTGAGGGGCTCTAAGAGAGGGAGGGGCTATGATTGGAGGAGGAGCTCTGAGCAAGAGAGGGAGGGACTCTAAGAGGGGGAGGGGCTGCAAGAGAGGGAGGGGCTCTGAGCTCGATGCTTCCTGTTGGAACGTTAGTCGTGCATGTGGTTCCTCAGAGCTCCTTTGATGGGAAGCGTCCAGCGGTTTGTCTCCTTCTTTGACTTCTTTGAGTTTCGCTCTCCTTCCTTCCAGTAAAAAGCTTGACTAAGCCGGACCAATTACATCACATTACATCACATTACATCACATGTCATTTATCTGACGCTTTTATCCAAAGCGACTTACTTTAAGAACATTTAACCATAAGGACACAAACTCAGAAGAGCAAGAAACAAAGTGCAATTTCCTTTAAAGGTAGAGGTAGAGTGTGAAGAGGTGTGTCTTTAGTCTGAAGATGTGAAGGCTCTCTGTGGTCCTGATGTCTTCAGAGACCTCCTTCCACCATTTAGGAGCAGGACAGCAGAGAGTGGAGATCTAGTCGAGTGTTTTGCTCTCAGCGAGGAGAGAAGCCTGACTGCAGTTTAAAGGTTTTCAGCTGGAGAGAACTTTACGGCGTGCCGTTACCGTGGAAACAATGTCCTCCAACACACGGGGAAAGTGAGTTCTCCCTCAGCAGAAACCCTCGATGTGAAACACAGCAGGGGTTAAGAGAGGCCGGGGGGCTCATGAATGTTTGAAGCTGTCGTCATGGACCTGCTCACCTTGTTTAAGGTGGGAATGTCACTTCTGTACAAGAAGCAGAGCAGCGGCTCTCCGTGTGTTGGTTAGCGAGACGTCGGTGCAGCGAATCAGCTTCACTGAGCCGGAAGTCATTTTCATTAAAGGAGGAAGACCACAGGAAGATGAAGACTAGTTTCCATGTCAATGTTCAACGTTCCCGTTCAGACACTTTGTTCTCATTATAAGAGAGTCAGAGCTCGACTTTCACCCCAGAGACCAAAAGTCCCAAGTGATGCAAATTTGTCTTCAATTCAATTCATTTTTATTTTGTAAAGCCCAAAATTGCAAATGACAAATTTGCCTCAGAAGGCTTTACAGTCTGTACACA